TTACAGTTACTTTCTAAAAAGGCAGGAAATGTGACACGAGTACTCCAACAATCATAGTGTGAGGATGTTAACCCTTTGGTGTTAACCCTGAAATGTCCAAAGCAGGCCCCATTCCCTGCTGTCCCTTACATGCAGCTGCTCAGGGTCCAGTGCTCTCGTCCTCTCGCCTCTCAAAAGAGCAAGCAGCCCTGAGGATGCTGCTTGCAAGCTGAACTGTAGCATTGAAGGAAAAGTATCTCACTCCACTGCACAAAAGCAGAAAGAAAGAGAGGATTCCTGGCACAGCAGGAAAGCCAAGATGTCCCTGGAGTGATTCCAAAGTCTTGCAGGCTGATGTATTTTTACAGCATCACAGAAACATGAGATCTTATTTTTCAAGAGTCTTGATTGTAGGTTAGTGCCTTTTGTGCTTTCTTTGTGCTTTCTTTTAGATATGAATTTGTTAAGAAGTTGAAACTGACCCGTTACTGAGATTTGTCTGTGCCAACCTACCACTTTTTGTTGGCATGTATGTTTAAAGCACTGTTTTTCTCTGTATTGAATTTCATTCTTAGATGGCTGAAATAGATTTAGAAGTGTGAGTATTTGTTGAGCAATGTTTAGGATCCAGCACCATTTTTTGCCATTTAACCATCATAACAAACAAATACTCAGCGGACATTCTGAATAAAATTCCATTGTATGGAATTGTCCTCAGCTGTGAATTACATTTTTCATGGCAGATTTACTTCCTGACAGAGAAAATTCAATATGTAGCTGCATTTCTATTACAGATACAGTCTTCTGCTAGCCAACAGATAAGCTTTTTATCAGCAGCCATGCTTCTGTGGCACTCTTCTGGGCCGCTGCCAGGCTTTGCCGTCCTTCCTTTCATGAGCAGACCAATTTGCAGATATTTGAAAACCCTAAATAATATAATAGCTATTTAAATGCATGCTTGAAAAAACCCAAAAAAACCCAACCAAAAACAACACCAAATAAAATCAATTTCAAAACTCTTACACCTACCTAATGTGCCTAATGGAAATCTACAAAACCAAGGAGCACAGCTGCCATTTCCAAGGCTCCCTGATCCACAGAGCATATAGATCAGCTTTTCCTCTAAGCCACCCTGGAAGTCTACCTTCCTATGCCTCTTTGCCACATCACCCCTCAAACAGAACACGCAGTGTCAGCTCCAGCCAGAGCTGGTAATGCTGGGAAGACGAGTCTGGGTAAAGAACAGGATGAAGAAAAAGCAGACAGGAGAGGTTATACTGTGCTGTGTTTTTTATTATGCATGGGAGCAGTGCCGAGGTGTGTGGGGTGTACAGCCACTGGTTAGAATCCAGCCTAAAATTCAGAGATGGGCAGCAGGGGCAGCTGTGTTGTCCCCTGTGGTTGCTGGGGGCATCCTCTGCTGACAATTGAGCCCCCTGCATTTTTAACGAGGCAGTGGAACTCCTCAGCTCACACTGCCACACAAGCTGCTGGCTTTAGCCCAAGCACATATTATTTTCTCTGCTCTTGTGAACTGTTTGTCTGTTCTCCTTCTTGCAATAGAATAAGAACCTGAGGAGAAAAGATCCTTTTTCTTCCCTGTTGCCCTTCAGATGAGAGGATGTGTGCTTGGAGTGATGCCCATTAGTGGAAGCGATGTTGGAATACTGGAATCAAAAAATTCCCCATGGAGAAAAACAGCAATGGTAAAAGAAGAAAACTGAAAAAAGTGAAGTTACCTTGGTGGACAGCTATTGAAGGAAAAAAAATGAGAAAAGAAAGAAGGAAAACTACCAGGAAACAGGTTAATGTGTGAGGGCAACATAAAATATTAAAAAGTACAAGAAAAGGAAGTCAACAAAAATGTCACAACAAGCATAATGAGAAGGCAAAAGCAATAAAGCAAGAGAGGAAAGATTAATCAAATCTCTCCTTACTGCAGGGTTGTACCACAACTTGCCTTATGGCTTTTTAAAATGTAAATCTATAAATAAACCTCATTGTCTTTCTTTTCCCCATTGGGGGGATATAAAAGATGCTAATAAGTTCTTACAAAGGGTAAATAGTTTAAGGGGATGATACTAGTGATACTGATGTATTAAAATGAAGATCAAAGCTAGGACTGCCAGTATAGGGTCTTTAGGTTATCCATACACTGCTACAGCTCTAACAGATTAAAGACTCATTTGAACATAAAAAGATGAAAATATAATAGGGATCATAGCCATTATAATAATGCCTTGATTACAAAACATAGTAAAGGCCCAATTCTTCCAGGCTCAGACCAAATAGTTCTTTATTAATAGTTCCATTAAATTTAGTGGAATTATCTTGGTGGGATGTGTTCCTCATGAAGAGTAAGTATTTCCAAGGTCAGTCTGCTCAAGCTCAGTGACATTTCTCAACTCTTAGACCAGTTTCCATTCTGACCCCTGGAGCAGTGTTACAGTGATGTTTTTACTGTTCATTTCCATCAGCAGCAGTGCAGTTATACACAGAAATGCTTTCCATAAGGAGAAGAACCTATCCTGTGCAACCTAAACTCATCAGAGCATTGAATATTGTTAAAGTAGGTGCTACTTCCAGCAGCAGTCTCTGGTGCCATGGGGGTGAAGGTTTCTGCATGGAAACTCTACAACTCCTTGGCAACAAGGGCTGTCCTGGGACCAGTAGGACAGGTAAACAAGCATAGCTCTCCCTGCTCTCAAAGCCATAGCTCTCTTGGGCATTAACATTTCAGACTCACTCAGAAGATTAGAAAGACCCTGAATGATGTAAAAGTCACACCACAGAACAGAAAACAACAGATCACCTTTTTAAGCTCCATTTCAAATGTCACCTACTATAGGGATATACTCTCAGGTGAAGTCAGGTTTGAGGAGAGAAGAAAAGTTGTGTTTGAAAGAGAATGTGCTTCTGAGATGGTGTATTTCTTGCCATTTCCCATGTCAAGTGCCAACGATTCTAGGATTTTACATAAACTCTAGAGTAAGATTGGAAATGGATATGTAAAATTCAGTGCATTAGAACTCTGGAAATTGCAAGCCCAGCTAAAAAGCAGCTATAAAGGCAGTTGGTCAGGTTTGGTGTTCATACCTTTCCACCATTTACCTGTCTGTTCATTTTTTCTCTGATGTCTCAGACCTGATGCTACTATTATGCATGTTATGATCATTGTCACCTTCCACACAGGACAGGTAAAGAAAGAAGGCAAAAGTCCATGAAAAAGCTACCATGCCTTCATAATTACCTTTAGGATTATGGCTTGAACATAGACTTGAAATATGTGACTTGGATTCCCCTATAGGTCTGGAAGAAATCTTTAGAGTACATTCACTCCTTCTGCTGACAGATGGCGGAGCAGAGAACAACCACTATGAAGATAACAGAATTTCACCCACGGGTTTTTCTTTACTATGCAGTAGCATAAGGTAGCTGTGAAATCAGTGGTGTTTCAGAACACTTCTTGCAGTACTGAGGTTTCTGGCTGGAGGTAGCCCAAACACACACTCAAGAAAGTCTCAATCTCAGAACAGAGGTCACATAAAAGAAGAAGACACCTAGCCAGATGACAGGCAGGTTTATGTGGGTCATGTCTGTTTCTGCTCTGTGCCAGAGGCCAAACTTGCTGCTTTTCACCCTGAAATGGGGAGCTGAAAAGCTTTAAACCCCTTGGGGATTTTTCCCCCTCAGCTTGTCATGAGAGTGGCTGGGCGAGATACAAAAAGGAATTCCAGAGAGGAAAGACTGAAAAAAATTTGAAGCTTTAATATATTCCTGCTCTCTGACCCCATTCCTCCTTTTCTGTGCATCAACCATTTTAACAATCTGGCAAAAGCAAACCCTGAAACTAGAAAACCCTTTCCTAACCAGTGTCACAAAACCCCTTGTCATTTACTGGGAAATGTTATGTTTTAATGCCTTATCTCTTCTTTTCTTCTTTTTTTTTTTAAATTCTTTTCATTCAATACCACTCAGTTCTTCATTTTTTAAATAGCTGTTCTGAAAAGACCAGTTTGCATTTTAAAACAAACAAAAAATTAGGATATGCTTATAGAATTGAGCTTAGTATGGTAGTGGCTGTTAAACAAGACTGACGAAAAACAATAATAAAAATCAGTGAAATCACTCTTACATGTAATCTCTTCACTATGAAATAAACCACTGCTACATCCACGCTAAGCATATGTAAACAAAACAGATGGGGGATTTCCCGCTGCTGGTTTCTTTCTCCTAAGGGTGGTTATTTTCAGTTCATAAACTCTCAGCTGTCATTCCTGATTTATCTTCGCGGCAGATTCCTGTTGGGGTCACAGGGCTGGGAGCTGGGGCGATGTAGCACGTCCCCCGCCAGCCACAGTGTTCGTAGCTGGGCTTCGTGCTTCCCTTTTAACCCCTTTCTCATCCCTCCCTCTGTCAGCGCCTGACATTTTGTGCATCGTGGTTGTGCTCCGGCATGGTGAGAGCCGTGCGAAGGAGAGATTTGAGCGTAGTTTGTTGGTGAGCATCCTCCTCTAATTCGGGGACGGGAGAGAGAGCTACTAGAGATAACGAAACCCCGCCTGCGTTCAATCTCCTACCCAAACAATGGCTTTATTTAAACATATGAAGACATCGCTGCGTGGAGATCCTTTAAAAAATGTTTTAGCCTTTTCCAGCCGTAGAGAGAGCGACCACTTTATTTGCTGGAAAGGGCTCTTCCCGCCCCTTCCTACTCCTGCCCTGCCTCCGCCCCCCGCCTCCCTTCCCCATATATTATTACTCTATGCCACCACCGCTGAAACAGTCCCACGGCGCTCCGTGCCCGCGCCGCGGCCGGCGGGCAGCGTGTCCGTGCCCCGGGCGCACCGCGGCGGCGGGGCGGCTCCCGGGCTCGGGCCGGGCCGTGCGGAGCTGTCTGCGCTCGGCGGGTGCTGAACGGCGCGGGGCGGCGGCGGCGCCCGGAGCCCGGCCGGCCTCGCCGCGGCGCCCGGGGCGGAGGGAGGCGGCCGAGGGGGCGCCGCGGGGGATGGGGGCAGCCGGCGGCCACCCCGCGCCGCCCGCCTGAGGAGCCGCGCACAAAGCCGCGCCGCGGCCATGGAAGAGGAGCTCAAGTGCCCGGTGTGCGGCTCGCTGTTCCGGGAGCCCATCATCCTGCCCTGCTCGCACAATGTCTGCCTGCCCTGCGCCCGCACCATCGCCGTGCAGACCCCGGAGAGCGAGCAGCACCTGCCGCCCCTGCTCCACTCTCGGGGCCCCGCGCCGCCCGCCGCCGCGCCGGGAGCGGGGCCGGGAGCGGCCGCGGGCTCCGCCGCCTGCCTGGACTCGGAGAGCGCGGCGGGCGGCGGCAGCGGCGGGGACCACGCGGACAAGCTGAGCCTGCACAGCGAGACCGACAGCGGCTACGGCTCCTACACGCCCAGCCTGAAGTCCCCGAACGGCGTGCGGGTGCTGCCGCTGGTGCCCGCGCCCCCGGGGGCGGCGGCGGCTCCGCGGGGCGCCGGCCCCGCCAGCTCCTCCCTCACCTGCCCGCAGTGCCACCGGAGCGCGTCCCTGGACCAGCGCGGGCTGCGCGGCTTCCAGCGGAACCGGCTGCTGGAGGCCATCGTGCAGCGCTACCAGCAGGGCCGCGCCGCCGCCGCCGCCGCCGCCAAGTGCCAGCTGTGCGACCGCAGCCCGCCCGAGCCGGCCGCCGTGCTGTGCGAGCAGTGCGAGGTGCTCTACTGCGCCGCATGCCAGCTCCGCTGCCACCCGGCCCGCGGGCCCTTCGCCAAGCACCGCCTGGCCCCGCCGCCCGCACACCCGGGCGCCCCCGGCGGCGGCGGGGACGGCGGCGGAGGCAAGGGGGCGGGCGGCGGCCGCAAGCTGCCGACGTGCGCCGAGCACGACCTGGAGAACTACAGCATGTACTGCGTGAGCTGCCGCAGCCCCGTCTGCTACCAGTGCTTGGAGGAGGGCAAGCACAACAAGCACGACGTGAAGGCCCTGGGAGCCATGTGGAAGCAGCACAAGGTGAGTGCCGACGGCCGGCTGGGAGCTGGGGTGATGCCCAGAGCTGGGGTGATGCTCGGCGCTGTGGTCTGCGCATCCCAATGCCCCAAAAACGGGTTGCAGTTTGTGAGACATGAGGTCCTTCATGTCCATCATCCTCTCAGACTTTTCTCCCTTTGGAATGGTGCTCCTAGGTTTTTGGCCCTTCTGACTTCCCGCTGACCCCGCAGTCTCTGCTCAGGGTTGGAAAACCCAGACTCCCTCTGGTGTTGGCCTCACCTGGACCACTGAGGTTCCACCAGGTCTCAGGCAGATAGCTGGAATTAGCAAGTCCATCTCACCAACTTGTTTGCCTTCCACAGCATCCTTGGGCATCCTGTCCTCAGCCTCCCCATGCTCTCAGTGGCAGCAGCTGCCTGTGAGGAGCAGGGTGGTTGTTCCTTCCTTTCACCACCTCCCTTTCATCCAGGACTCTGTGCAAGCTGCCACAACTGTATGTCAGCGAGGGAGAGTGGCCCACAGCCACCCAAACGTTGTAGACAAGAAAGCATGGTACAGATGATCATTGACACTGGGTGTTCTCCTGGGCCTTAAAGAGCTCCCCTCCCACTTGGTTCCCAAAGAAGCCAGGAGTAATGGCTGGAGGGATTTTCATGATAAATAAAATATTGTAGAGATAAATAAGGAATTGTAGATGGGGACTAGGGACAAGTAAAGCTTTTTCTGATTCATATATTGTCACTGTCTGATTCTTGCTTCCCTGCAATGATGCTCCCTACCTCTCCCTGGATTCCTTTGTGGAGAGGTCAGAGCCATTTGCTTGGCTACACAGGGGTTTAGTGAGGTCTGGGAGAGCTGGTGGGTCACTTGCTCGTGCTTTGCTTGTTAAAAATAGGGCTTTGCAACCTGTGAATAAAGAGCAAGACGCGGCCTTAGAAGTTGAAAAAATACACGAAGTTAGTTCTGTCTTGCTGAGAGTGATGGACCCTGGAGAAATTATTAGCTCATACATATGAACTTAGAGAGGAGACTTCAATACCTGAGAGCTGAGGAACAATGCTTTGGAGCTTCCTGCTGTATTGGGGTTAAAGGACTTCTCCCACAGCTATGCAAAGAGCACTTGACCAGCTCTGCTGGCTGCAGGATTCCCTTCTTTTCACTCTCTGCTTGCAGTTAGCAGTGAAGAAAGCACAGCGAGATCCTTTCAGACACTGCAGGAAAGGTCAAAATCAAGACTGGTGTCATCACCCCTCAGCCATGGAGTGGCTCAGCACAAGATAGGCTGAGGTATTTGGCAAGACAAAAAAACTACACTCTATTGTAAGATCCAAACAAGATGCCCCTTGGGGTGATCTGCACTGTTGAACCATCCAAGAAGAAAGACAAACTTCTGGAAGTGTTTTTTTGAGTGTTCTGAATCTCAGCCATCATTCCTCCCTAACATGATGAGTGCTTGTGCAGAGCAGTTCTCTTGCAGACAAAACATTTGCAGCTGCTGTTCATACCCCAGTGTCAGAATCCACTTCTGAGCAGAGTTGTTTTGATGAGCAGGGTCTGAGTTCACAGTTCATACCTGGCTGATGTTTTGGAGGGCATGACAGACCAGCTTGTGATGTACTGTGGTCTACCTTGAGTTAAAACTGTTTGATGCCTTTTGGAACATGACAGTCCAGTCTAATCAAAGTTCAGAATCAATAATTTTGTCTCTTTCCCACTGTCAAATATTGTAAAAACCCCTTTGGCTGGTATTTTTACTGCAATTTTTTCTGGGACTGAGGTATCACAGAACATTGTTTTTCTCTTGATTTGCATATTCAATCAATGTCAAAATTCTAGTGAAAAGATACCCTCAAAATTAAGTAATTTGGGGGCTCTGAAATTATGCTCTTGTGAATACTATATTTCCCAGAAAAATGTGCTTGTCACAAAATAAATATAATGGAACTGTGTAGCCAGGCAGCCTAAATCATCATCTCACATTCATTCAGATAAATTGTTTTGGAATTAGATACTTCTGCTTAGAAATAGTTTTCTGATACAGCAATTTCTACAAGTTTATTACCTGCAGTTACTTTGTCCAAACCATAAATTACTTACATTGACTGGCTTGCCAAAGGTAATTTAAGGCTTATGTGTTCTCTGCAGATGCTCCGGGCATGGCTGGTAGAGGCAGCTGAAAGGTTTGTTCTTAGCCCAAGGAGCCTTCCTTGTGTTAGCCCTTTGTTTGGCTCCTCCTTTGTCTGGGCCTTATTACAGTGACCTAGTGGCAAATTACTGAGTGTAAAAGCTTGTCCAGGCAGTGCTGCAGGCCATGCAGGGAAATGTGCCCTCACTCTCAGCTGTAATGCTGATACCAAAGCTGGACTGGACTGGTTGGCCCCTGTTAGTGGTGCAGGTTCCCCATTGCACTGCTGTGTGTAACTTCTCCTACAGACAAAGTAAAATTGGTGTAAAATGACAATACGACTTCAGTGGCACAAATCTATGAAAATCCCCTGGTTTAGCTGGACTTGATTATATTCACTTGCCTAAAAAGTGCATCTGGACCAGCAGTTCAAGGTTATTAAGAAAAACTCTTAGTCTTCTGTTGAAGTTTAATCCTTTCATGTTTTCTTAGCAAGTACAGTGGTAGTGTAATCACATTTAGGTAGGAATTCATACCTGTGAACATGAGGAATGATGTGGGACACATTTCAGCTCTGCCCATTCTAAAGGGTTAACTATACATATGTACCAAAATGCTGAAAACATCCACAGCTGGATCTGTCTGTGAAGGGCAGGCAGGCAGGCTAGTGTGGGAATCCTTATGCCTGCTTTTATTTCCTGACCTAAAGCCTTGTGTTCCCAAAAACATGTGGGTTCTATGAGAATTCAACACCAGGACAAGCTTATCTAATCAATAGTCAATCTGCTGCTGAAGAGAGATGGAGGGAAGGCAAGCTAAATGAGCATGAACTGTTTGGTTGAAAAAGGACATGGCCATTATCTGGTTCATTTTCTGAAATGAGAGGTCTTCCCTGCCCATCTGGGTTCAATTACTTACCCTTGTGATCTCTATGTTCCTGTAATTGGTGGAAATAGAAACTTGGTCTCCATCTCCAGCCCTCAGATTATAGGTTGCAAGACCAGGTATGAAAGTGAGGATAACACCAGGTGGAATACCTTTTGTCAGGAGTTATTAATTGTCCCAGTCAATGGAGCTTGTTACATCTCAGTCTGGTTTACAATAAATATTTCTGTGGTATGAAAGATTGCTCTGGGTGTACAGGACATTTTTTATGGCTTGGTTGGTTTACTGGGGGCTTAGTCATGTAGCTCCACTTGATTTTAATGAGAAGTGCATGACTAAGTTCCTCTGATTTGCAAGGTATCTTTTACAAATGCTTGGAAAAACAAGGCTATTATCTCTAAATGGGTTTCACAAATGGAAATCTGGCCTTCTACTCAGCTTCATGCTGCAGTCAAGTTAATGCAACCACAGGTTTTAATGAACAGATCAATTTGCTTATGAGCCCTTTAGACAGTGACATGGCTGAGTTTCTGTTGCATCTCTCAGTGATGGGAGTGTGCCAGGAGTGACTGTGCTGATTGCCATTGGTATATATGCTGCTTACAATTCATGTGTGGTGGTTTTCTACAGCTGCTGTGATGCCCACATACTGCCTTTGTCTCTTCTGATGTGGAGAAATGAACTTTGAGATGATTTGAGAGCTGGGGCAGATGTTGGGAAAGTGGAAGTTTTACTTTTGTTGGGACCAACCATAGGTTTTGATTTGAAAGAAAGGAACCCTTTCCTCCCTGGGACAATTTGGTCAGGACAGTCAATGACTGAGAATATAATGCTTCTGCCACCTATTTCTTTCTTGCTTACACCCCATCTGCTTTGTCATGTGCTGCTTTAACCTTGTTCTGTGTCATCTTGACAAATCAAAGGCTCAGATGTGCCCTGTGAATGGAAAAGAAAGTGTGATCAAAAACTTCAAACTTTGGCAAACGTGATCAGCCTGTGCAGGGCTGACCTCAAGTCCTGATTGTCTGGTCTTGCAGAAAACAGACATTTTTTAATGGACCTGGAGTTTGCTTCTGTGGCCTCCCGTAGTGTTAATATCAAACATATCATTTCAGGTTTTTGTGCATTTACAAGGGTTTGTGTAAGAAAACAGCAGAGATTAAAATACTGAGAAATAGGCACAGTAATGTGTCTTCCCCTTACATTTGTAATGAATGAATTTTGTAAAGCATATTCACATTTAGATTTTAGCACTAATGTGCTTTCAAGGGGCCACTTTCCAGCCTCTTTTTCCCCTGTCTTACATACATCCAGGGTTGCTCCATCCCAGGTGCAGAACCTCGCAATGGCACCAGCCAGTTCTTTGAGTACACTTAGTGAATCCTCTTGGGACTCCTGGACTTACAGGGATCCATCTGGAGCAGAAAATCCTGCACAAATTTGGGGTTGACTGGGAGTTAATCACTGTGACAGTCATCCTCCAGCTCAGGACACTGGGACCCTAAAATGCAACACTGGGTCTGCCTGGGGCAAAACCACTCTTTCCTTCCTGTGCTCAAAGTTCATTGACAAGACTCTGGCTCAGCTTAGGGATCTCACGTGTTGGCTGAGGAAAGGGAAGGTCAGGCCTAGAGTGTGGACTTAAAAAAGACATATTCTATGTGCCTTACCAGTCAAAATTAGAGGAAGGGTTTCTTCCAACTTTTGCAGAAACATTCACCCATTTATTGAGTTGGAACATGGGAAACTGGAGCCCCAAGGGACATTACTATGAAGTCTGAGAAGGCAGATTTGTCTTCAAAGTCCTAGTGTATCTCAGGTTTGTTAGGATCTACCACATTTATAAAGATTTCAGACTTGGATGAAAAAGAAGTGTCATTTTGGAAAGCACTTGGGGATTTTTCAGCATGACAGATGCTACTGTGTAAGTGTAAGACTACTACCTCCTTATAAACGTGGGTAGCTGTTTTATAAAAAGGTGTTTGACTTACCAAGTTGCTGCAATAAAGTGGAATGTGCAGACACAATACTTGACTGCCCCCACATGCATATTTCACCCTCATTAAATCTGATTACAGTAAAAATCTTAACTGTTCTTTTCTAGCAGAAACACTTTGTGGAATTAGGAATACATGTAAGACTTTTTGCACATTATTAATAATCAAATCCAAGGATTACTAAGAAAAACATTTGCATTTTATCACTAACTTTTTCTTTTTTCTCCTCCTTTTTTCTCCCTTGCAGGCACAGCTGTCTCAGGCTTTAAATGGTGTATCAGATAAAGCAAAGGAAGCTAAAGAATTTTTAGTTCAGCTGAAAAATTTATTGCAGCAGATCCAGGTAACTGTAAAATATAATCTGTTTTGATAATACAGTAATCAATAGAACTGGGTGAATAATTTATTTGATGACTTTGTTCCCTATGCTATTCTCATTTTCCTGGAATCATCTGACCTTTCTTGAATGGATTTGCTAGGTAAAATTGTTCATCAAATAATGCCTGCAAGCCCCTCTTAGCTTCTAGATTGTTTGCTGTTTGTTGCAAAAAGCTGATACTCAATACTGGACATCTGAGCTGTGTTGATTAGTGTTTGATTGAATCCATTAGTCATGCTTCTAGGCTCTTCCCTGACTGCATGTGCTTGAATTCCGCATTTAGGAAAAATCCTCATTTTAACAGATTCAAAATGCGCTGCTAGCCTTTCATCTTACATTTCCTAAAAATGCACTAATTTCTTCCAAAAATCCAGTGAGCCTGCCTATTAGAGTACTTGTAAGAATGTCCTACACACACTCAAAAATACAGGAATATTCTCCTAAAAAAAAAAAAAAAAGGAACTGCTGCTAAATCAATGTGTCGTTTATTGGAGCGTAAGTTATTTTCATGCCTGTAATTGTCCAGATTTAATAGTCAGAAAAAGAGCTCATAGTGAGTGCAGTAATTGAGGGCACAAACCCAAAATGAAACAAGCCTTGATTTCAATCAAATTTAGACTCATCAGTGCTGGAGGTCAGACGATCTTCAAGGTCCTTCTGGCCCTGTGGAGTGTACCTGGAAATGTGCCACTCCAGTTTGGGCTGCAGTGTCCAGGAGGGGACACTTGTGTCCTGTGCTTGTTAGTAAGGGAAAACCAAAGCAGAAATTCAAAAAGTTTATTATTTATTCATTAAAGTACTCCACCTAGAACCTCAGAGGATGAATTCGTACCACAAGAGATGCCCAAGCTCTTGGGTTGCCTCAGGGCAGCCTCACAAGGCACCCTCACAGTCTGCCACAGCCATGTGGGGAAGGGAGCACACCAAAATGAGGAACTGGTAAAATTAAACAATTATGTAGCTCACATAGTTATGTAGTCTACTCATTTAATTTCTTTCACTGTCCAAGGAGAAAAGGCAGGCACCTTTAGAGAGCATTTCTTCCTGTAGTTATGAACAGCTATTTTAGGATGGGATAATCCATCCAAAACAGTAGTCTATCACCAATCTTTCTTGAGTCATCTAGCTCCATTACAAATGTATTTTTCCCTCCTGAAACCTAGAAGTGGCCTATTATGACTATTTATGACTATGCTGTAAAATCCTTTAATGTGTTTCAATAAAATCACCGCCAAATTGCTCTGCATAAGGGAGCTGCTACAGTTGGATCAAAAGACCAAGCCATTTATTTGATGCTGCTTATTGCTTAAAATGCTAGAGGAGAGCTCAGAAGAGGAAATTTTATCCAGCAGTACCCTCTAACATTGAGCCAAGTCTGGTCACAAATCTGAATCCGACCCTCACATGTTGAGGCAATCTTCATCCTGGGTCTGAGTGAAACATCAAATTTCAGCAAACCAAAACAGCAGGACTAATCAGCTGCATATTGTATTCCTAAGTAAAACAAGACTGGGGCATGGCTCCAAGATGATCGCTCACACACTTTAACCCTTAAGGAGCTCCCTGGAATGGTTTTCTCCCGTGACAAATTGCACCCCTCTCATGCAGTGTTCCAGCCACCTTTGATGATAGCACATACCATGGAGTGCTCCTGGTAGTCAGGTTTGGTACAGCCACACTCTTTGAGGGGAAGGGGTTTAGATGTGTCATGAGCCAGTCTGTGCCTTTTGACATTTGGACAAAAACCTGTTTTTGTACTGTTACTTTCTGGGGGAACACATGCAGCCTTTGTGCATAGGTTTGTAGCCAGACACATATCTCAGAGCAGGTTATTTACAGTAGGGATCTTATGACTGCTGCCACATTCACATATGGACATTTTCCCCTCAGCAAAAATGTATTTTAGCAATACTTTTACACAAAGGATCAAGCAATATGTATTTCATTATCCTGTCTCAATGCACTTCAGACCAGGCAGCCACCCACATTCTTTATCTCCTCTCTGAGTTTGCCAGAGCTACCAGGAATCGTGCTTTCATCTTACCTGGGGCAGTTTGCAAATTCATAATCTATTTTTCTTTTCCCTGCTTTGCAGATCTGTTGTTCCCCCTCTTTTTTCATGCCTTTCTCTTCTCTGAGATCACTTTTATATCTCTTGGTGTTTTCTTTTCAGACACTGCCTGTTCCTCATTGCTCCTGTTGCTTCCTTGCTTCTCCTTGTTGCTGTCATGATCTGATTTTCCCATTTTCCCATCTGCTGTAACAATTTCATACTTTCTCACTTGAAGGAGGCATATAGCCAAACACCCTGTTTGATGTGAGAGCAGAAAATGAGGAGAGAAAAGATGCACTGCAGCCACCAACTGATTCAGCTCTGTGCACAAAGCAGCACTTCGGGAGTAACGGGGTGGAAATGGGCTTAAGGGGGAGCTGGGAGTGACACCAGCCGAGGAGGGGGAGATGCAGACAGGAAGAATCTAAGACAAACCTGTGAGCAGGAGCTGAGCTGTCTGGTGTCTCCTCAGCCTTGGATAAACCCTCGCCCACATCTGGCCGGCAGGTTCAGGGCTGCACTGGGGCTCCCCAGGGAACACTGACCCTGCATCCATCGGCTGGAGAATGGGATGCATGGGTCACAGTGAGGGAAGGGAGTACAGTGCTGAAAGTTTTGAATTCAAAATAAAGAAGACAAAGCAAATGAGTAGAAAATGAGAGGAAAGCTAAAGAGCTAAGAGATAATAATGAATTAGGGTAGTACAATGTCTTAGCAAAGAGGCGCTTCTCCTTCAGTGCATGCTTAAAATCTTCTCACATTTAATGATGCTCTTTCCTTTTTTAATTGGGGTATTTGGGAGGAAAGCTGATAGCACACCTAAACATCTCCTTGGAAGAGGAGCGTGAAAGTTTTCTCCTTCTAGTCTCAGGAGCAGAGGAGGTGAGGGAGAGTCTTCCTTTGAATGGGTACTAGAGAAGCAGTTCCAGGAATTTATGTAATGCTAAATTGTTCCCAGAGCCTACTAAAGGCTCAGTGTTTTATACCTCATGCTGGTTTCTGCCTAGCAAAGAATTTTACCATAATGTGAATAGAAAGTTGCCTCTTTTTTTAAAAGCTAATCAAGTACATATCTCCACTGTCAAGTGCTAGCTATTTTATAAAAAGAACTCGAAGCAATACACAAACCTTAGGGCTTTGTACCTCATTAATTTCCTTGTAATAAGCCAGTAGACCAGATTCTGGTCCATAATTCTGTTCTAATTGCTGTGGTACAGAGCCAGTGATTTCAAAGTTGCTACAGTGGGATAATTAAAACAGATTGGAGCAGAATCCTCTTATGTATATATGCACTGTGTATGTTACATTTAGCATTTGCATCATGTTGTACTACATCTGTCATCAGGAAAGTGCCAGTAAATGATGGTTTTGAATAAGACCATTTGTGGCATGGCATGTTATTGTTTCATTTTACAGCATGCAGGTATTACTGGTACAGTTGTAATGAAATCAGAAGGGCAACAAAAATGCTGAGGGTCTTGAAAGGAAATCTTTTCTGAGCAGAAAAGCAGGTATGAGCAATAGCTGAAGCTGCAAACTGTGCTGTCTCTGATGTGTGTGACTGTCCTGGTTGCAGGAGAACGGGCTGGATTACGAGGCCTGTCTCGTGGCTCAGTGCGATGCCTTGGTCGATGCGTTAACGCGGCAGAAGGCAAAACTGCTCACAAAGGTCACCAAGGAGCGTGAGCACAAGCTGAAGGTGAGCACTCCTCTCATCAGCTCAGCACAGCTGCTGAGAGATACCTGCTGGGGTGTGTCAGGTTCCCCTTGACAATGAATTCTCCTAGTGACCAAATTCTAAAGTTCCTTTAGCAGGTCCAGTTCAGCAGTTTAATGGAACTGTGCCTACACACGTTAAATGATGGATATACTTCAGCAGTTTGTTGAATCAGGCCATTGATCTTTATTTATCTTATGGTTTGGGGCTATCTTTTGAGGGGTGCTTATCAGTGAAACCTATGTGTGGTTTGGATCTTGGCACCTTCTGCCCAAGTAAACAGTTGTGATTTTGATATCTCCTCGAATCTTTAAATTCAAGTAAGCCACCTCCAGAAATCCAGGAGCTTCTCAAAACATATTAAAGAAACACAGTAAAAGGAGATGGCAAGAAGAAATCTAAAATGGTTGTCTGAAGTGGCAGTTAAGAAATATTTAAATAGACACATTTCTTAAAATGGTGATCTTAACGTGATTTTGAGGTACTAGGGTGCCATTCACATTAAAAGTATCTAAGCCAGAAGGAAAAAGTGAAATGGAGTATCTAACATATCAGTTAACAAAATCCACCTGAGATCAGCATTCAGCTTGCTTAACAAGAACCAGCACTTAGGACATTCTGCTGACAGCACAGCAAACCCTGCAGTTTATTGCTGTCACAAGTTGTCCTACAGAACACAGTGCTACTAGACCTAGTCCACAGCCATGTGGCAGCAGAATCAAGCCCAAAATCTGGAAAAATGGAATGCAGCTATTTTATTTCTTAATTCCAGCAATGTGTTCTTAAGCAGAGCAGGTTCAATGATAAATTGTGAAGAGAATGTTTAGGGTATGATCTGTGAGAAACCACTCCAGCAGTTTGCCTCTAAAGTGAAGGACTTTTAAAAAGCTCAGATGTTAGTGAAAGTGTGACTGGAAATGTGAACACTGCAAATGCAGAGACATGTTCTGTGCCCTCTCTGCCCCAAGCAAGCCTAATCTTTGAGAGATTAATCTGCTCTGAAAATTGAGATTCCCTGTGCACAACATTTTGCCAAGCTAATTATCGCTATTTACAATACAGAGCAAGTGAGTGAAGCTGATGGAGATACAGCAGTGGCCATATGGCAGCTAAATTAAGCATAGATTTAACACACTCTCCCATTCCTTGTTTCTTCTGGAATAATTTTATAAAATTCACTGCAAGCTGAGGCAGTCATAGAACTGTACTGATGTTTGTTTGTTTTCCAGGTTGTTTGGGACCAGATAAATCACTGTACACTGAAGCTACGCCAGTCAACAGGGCTCATGGAATACTGCCTAGAAGTTATCAAAGAAAATGATCCCTCTGGGTTTTTACAGGTATTTTTCTTCCTAATGTTCTGGGGAAAAAAAAAAAAAAGAAAATAAATTAAAAATAAGTCTACAAATGTGTGGCTTTGTTAATTAGCCCCTTCCACCTCCAAGGCAGGTTCACCTCAACTCCTGTAAGTACTGTCTAGAAACACAGAGAGCCTGGTGACTGCATGAATGTCCCAGCAAAGAGATGGCTTTAACAGCTGCACCCTGACTGAGGTGGGGAGTTGGTGGTCACACCACTGCCCTCACTCCTGATGTCTTTCCTCCTGCCAGCCCTTCCTTCTGGGATGAGAAAAAGATGCTATGCAGTTAATGATAGCTTTTTGCAGAGTATTTTATTCTCGTTTGACAAACCCAACGCAGGGCCTCACAGAGCTCTCTGATTAATTTGGAGGGGTCAGTGACTCAATAGAGTAGTACTTCTCCCCCTTGTGCTTCTCCCCTTTGCTTTCCTATGTAAAAGAGTCCTTTCAGCACCTCCCCTGTAAGGAAGTCTAGTCTGAAGGGGCTGCATGTAGCTTTGCTTTGCTGAGATTGTTGCAGCAAGACCTGTGGCAGCTCCAGGTACCCTTTCTTTGCGAAATATGGCCCAGCCAATAATTGCCTTGATTTGCAGGATATTGCTTCTGAGGTGCAAACAGTGAAAATGTCTATTGATGAGAAAAAACATACCAGTGGTTTTTTTTCCATAAATTATTTTGCATTGTTTATTCTTATATGTTTATTAATAACTTTATTTTGCTCTAGTGGTTTCTATTTATTGCCTAAAAAGAAAGGTACATCAAACAAAATGACCTGCACACATGAATGCACGAGTGTCAGGGGTTTGTCAGAGCATCCCTAAAAAACAGGATGAGAATTAGCCAGCCTAAACCTATTAACACTCCAGACTGATTGTTACTGTCATGTCTGGTCTCATGCAGGAGAGGGGAATGTGTGGTGTGGATTATTCTCAAGGTTACACAGATTTTAACAGGCTGTTGGCTGGACTCTACAGGACAAACAAAATCTTTGGGGATACATGCTACATGCTATCTAGATATATGCATTACTTTCTTTTCAGCTTACTTTCCCTGTAACTTCTGTGGCTTCAGATTTTGCAGCCCCCTTTATAAAAAAAAAAAAAACCAAAAAACCATTTTTGTTTTTACTTTTTCCTGGTTTATCTAATGATGCTTTCAAGACACTCAGGCACTGCATTACTTTGAGCAGCTACTCCTGCAGCCAGGATACTGAGATGTGGCCAAGGGATCCAGCATCCCAGTAAGTGGCTCCAAGGTTGCAGGAGGCTGTGGGATGCTCCTCCACCTACTGCACAGACTGATAAGGAGCTGTGGGTACAAGGGTTCAGACAGGAGTATCCTCAGTAAAAGTAATGAGGAAAAATATCCAAATTCCTGCAACAAAGGAAAACTTTCTCTGTAATACCCATAAAAAAATTCTACTCTCTGTGACTTACAGGAAGTTCACGGTCAGGGGCTCCTGATACCCAAATGACAGCTTCACTGACCTCAAGGACAGCTGAGTTCATTGATTTCCACAGGGCCAGGATTTAACTTCCTGGAGTGTCTGTTGTGATAATTTCCGTTTAACTTTTGGTCTGATTGTCTGTGGGCTGAGCAAGAGCAAAGCTTTAAAAATTAAGTTCAGTTTTGATGTAATGGAAGAAAATCCATCATATATGTGAAAATCTATCTGACAATTTTTCACCCTCACTGTGAGTAATATACACCTTCCTTACCATTTGATTTTTTAATCCTTTAGCTTTCATCCACTGAATCATCTCTGCTGGATGGAGAGACTCAAACATTTAAGCCTCTCTTTGTGCAACTTCTTTTTAAGCAGGAGAGCAAAAGTAGACCATGCAGATCAGAGAACAGAGTACAGAATTATATGTGGCATTCAAAGGCATGACACACAACATAATCATAATCTTAACAGGCTTTATAAACGCAGTTTTTACTTTCCTAGCCTAATATGAGCTTTATTTTGAAAAGACAAGATGAAAGGATGCAACATAAATGGACCTCACGCCAAAATGACCAGATCCCATCTCATCTGTTTTGCTGTCTTAATCCTGTTTCCTTTGTGCTGTATCTGACAGGCATTCTGTCATTTTTGATGTGTGCGTCTGCCATTTCATTATAAACCTGATGCTCTCTTTCAGATTTCAGATGCTTTAATCAAGCGTGTTCAGGTATCTCAGGAACAGTGGGTAAAAGGAGCCTTGGAGCCAAAAGTGTCTGCTGAGTTTGACTTGACTCTGGACAGTGAACCTTTACTGCAGTCAATTCACCAGCTGGATTTTATTCAGATGAAATGTAGGGGTGAGCTCTTATGATTTTCCTTTTCCTGTTTTTCATGCATGTGTTGGAACAGTGCTGGGAGGTGTGAGGACATCAAAGGAGGAATAACTTGAATTTGCTGGATAGTTTTAAAAGGTGTTCAGGCAAATTCAGGTTACTGTGTGTTTCCTGGAAAGGTGTGCTCCCCTCACATGTATAATCTTTACGTGCATCTGGTATTTCTATCTGAGCTGAACAAGCTCAGATAGAAATACCAGATGCACTTAAAAATTGGAAAGATAACTTCTTCAGAGTAGGGTTTTGAAGATTTATAAGACATGAGCTGCATGAAGCTTCATGCTATTTTGTATCATTCCTAAGTTTGACATGGTTAATTCAAGATACCAGTTACCCCTATCTTGTCAGAAACAGCTGAAGTAGAAAATAAATATTGCACAAACACACACACACATGCTTGAATAGGAAACAAAATCTCCTATTTGACTGATATCTGGACTGTGCTCCAAAAATTGCCCATCTTAATAAAAAAAATCTTGAGGAAGAGATTCGCAAGGGGAAAGCAGCTCCATGGCTGTACCACACAAGGGGAAAGTAGCTCTTTGGCTACTTTCCATGGTTCCAGGCTACTTTCCACAGCTCTTTGGCTGTGCCATTCCATGGTTCCAGGTATCTGGATAAATCTGATGAACAGAATTAGAGAGAACTGAGGCTAAAAAATATATCTAAAAGAAGAAGCTGATGAACAGGACATGTCACTGACCTTAAAAAAAAGAAAATTAACATAATGAGCTTGTAATGGGGCTAGTTTATATGAAGCAGGCTGAGAACTGCATCAGAGTTAGACAGATCCATAGAACAGTTGGGTTTGAAAGCCATTGTGGTCCCTGGGAATGATGTCATTAGCTTCTCTCAGTGGTGATTCAAGCCTTAATTATACATGTGGGTGACAGGATAGAGGCTGCCAGAAGTCAGTGAATGAGTTAAGGATATAGTGTAGTGATGTCAGATGTGCTTTTTTTTTGTTTTGAGCAAGCATAAAGAACTTTGTTCCGCTTATGTGTTCTCTCTGGGCCTAATTCTGCATCTAAGACACCCGAGATGAAGTAATTAGGGTGGATAATTTGGCAGATATGTGGAGAAACAATGTACAAACAGTTAAAGGCCAGAGTCTGCTCACCAAGAATGCTTTGCATCTTGGCATAAACAGGCTGTGTTAAAGTTATTCAATAAACATCTGTGAACTGCTCCTTTGAAATGTTGTCAGACAGGCAAGTGGAGTCAAGAGAGCAGGAATATCACCGATGAAACTCCTCTGAATGCTGTCTGCGCTTGTCTTTTTAAAATCAGTTTATATTTATTGCTAGCCATATTTATTGTGAAATATATTTAATACTAATCTCCCACCACTCTCCTTTACAAACATAGGAAGGATTTAGTTAAACGAGTCACCCAGATTGCTAATTAACCACAGGTTACCTGAGGTGAGAGCAGCTTTGGTATTTGGCTTGTGGACATTCACCTGGCTTACAAAAGTCAGGTGAAGACTTACAAAACTTTAATTGAGCCAGATTCACTCATGCTTTTTGAGTTAAAGTGTTTTCTGCTACGCTCTCATTTATCATAAGATGGCAGGGAAGCTCTGGTACTGAGTTAGACACAACCTGAGGGGCAGAAAGAAGACAGGACTTCTGCAGCCCAAACCTGTGCAGAGCTTCCAAACCCCCTTGGGCTTTGCTCCCCAGAGGCAGGGTTAGCCCTCAGGAAGGGCTTTTGCTTGAGCTGTCTTGGTCCTGAGCAGGGATTATCTATTGCATGTCCCATCAGGGTGGTCAGCACACCAGTGTGACCATGCACACACCACTCAAAGAATAATGGAAAGATGTTAACCTGGCCACCATTCCTTAAGTGCATAAGGGAGGTGTTACTCACCTTCAGACCTCTGTGTGCCCAAGCAGAACAAGCCTCTGACCAGTTCCAAGCTAGCATTTATAGATATTGGGGATTGTTTAGTATACAGACGTGTATTTATCTTTCTTCATTTATCAATTCTATTTCCATTTGAACTTCTCAGTCTGACACTTTGGCCTTTTTTTTCCTGAAATTTTACTTCTATGACCTCAACCAAACCTGCATTATTTTAGAATCATAAAATAATCTGGATTGGAAGGGAACCTTAAGGATCGTCTAGTCCCAACCCTCTGTCTTGGGAAAGGTCACTTTTCCCTAGATCAGGTTTCTCAGAGACCCATCCTGCCTGGCCTTGAACACTTCCATGAAAGGGACATCCATGGCTTCCCTGAGCACCCTCTTCCAGTGCCTCACAGCCCTCACAGTAAAGACTTTCCTCCTAATAGCTAATCTAACCCTCTCTCTTCCAGTTTGAAGCCATCCTCCCTTGTCCCATTACTACATGCCCTTGTAAAAACTTCCTCTCCAGCTCTCTAGAAGGCCCCCTTTAGGTACTGGAAGGCCACAATATGGTCTCTCTGGAGTCTTCTTCAGGCTGAGCAGCCCCAGCTCTCTCAGCCTGTCTTCATTGGAGATGTGCTCCAGCCCTCTGATCACCTTCCAGACCTACTCCAACAGTTCCATGTCCTTCCTGTGTTGGGGGCCCTGGAGATGGACGCAGCACATGGAGCCATTGACCATGACTCTTTCAGTGCAGCCATCCAGCCAATTCCTTATCAGCTGAGAGGTCCATCCATTAAAATTCTTGTCTCTCCATCTTAGAGGCAGGGATGTTATATGGGTAATGCTTTGCACAGGTCCAGGTAGGTGACACCAGATCCTTGCCCTTCATCTCACTCTGCTGTTATTCTGTCATAGAGGGCCACCAAATTTGTCAGGCTTGATTTGGCCTTCTTCAAATACACTATTTGTGTCTTCACATGCAGAATGGTCTTGCATCTAGAAATACAGGTATCACAGAGGAATCAACTCAGCATTTCAGGAGGAAGCACCCAGACTGATTGGGAACATCCCTTTACTGGCTGTAAGGAGAAGCTGCAGTTGCATGGTGATGTTTTGCTATTTATCACCATGAGCACTGAGACAGATTGCCCAGAGAAGCTGTGGCATCTCCCTCACTGGAGATATTCAAGAACTGTAGGGACACGGTCCTGTGCCATGTGCTCTAGGATGTCCCTGCTTGAGCAAGGAGGTTGGACCAGATGAGCCCCTGTGGTCGCTTCCAAGCTGACCTGTTTTGTGATTCCGTGACTTCCATATTTCTGAGCATCCACTTTCACAAAGAAAAAATGTCCTCCTCTTTCATCTGCTCTCTTTCTTCAATCCTACCTACACCAGCACACCAACTCATCCGTCTTTGCCAAATGTTGGTGTTGAGGTGAGAATTATTAAGCCATTCTACTGGTTGATCTGACAAGAGCAGATGCTTTAAAGATGTCAATGATCTGTAAAGGAAGTTTTGGGGAGATCTAGGAGAACAGGGCTTTTCCAACTGTAAGTTGGTTTTTTTCCAAAAACTTTGCAATGTAATATCTGTATTATTGTTATCAGTGCTTAGTACATGACTGAATTTCTATTTTTTTCAAACTCTGGCCTCATTCAACCTCACTGAGCCTGCATGGGTCATTTAGAGTGAAAGCATGCTTGAAAGTAAACATTGATTCACTGTGGTAGACAAAGAATGAAAATGAGAACAAATCACATTGCATTTGCTTTGATGACAAGTTCATTTACATTACTGATGCATTCGCTATAGGCACAGATCTAAAGCTCATCTAAAAAATAGGGATCATAGGGTTCTTTTTCTTTTTTGCAGAAAGAAGAAGCAATCTGAGAACAAATTAAATGTGCAGAGATGTGATAGGTGCAGAAGTAATGCTTAGGCAGTCCTGTTGATCAAAGGGTCTCACCGAGTCCCACACTCCCTGGGCCCGCTGACCTCAGAGGCACTCACACAGCTCTACTGGTTGCTGGCATTTTGAGCTTTCCCAGATCATTGTCTCTGTCCATGTCTTCTTCTCTCTGAGGCTTTTACAGAATGCCTTGTCACAAAATTCCTGTCCTCTGATGCCTGGCTTAATGTGTAGTTCACATATTCTCAGCTGGAGCTATTGGCACAGGCAAACGCACTTTCCGTGTCTGCTTTGTTCACACAGCTGTAATTGGCATGCAGTCTTCATTGGCTGAAAAACAGGACTAGATACAAAATAGGAAAATATGTAGCTACTCTACTTTTCCATACCACCTCTGAACATTCATTCATATACCCTGTCTCCTTATCCTGATTCCTTCTCTCTTCTGCAAACCATGAAGATTTCCCAGACACGTCTGCCACAAATCTTCTCTGCTTCTGCAGGTGTGAACTCTACTGCCCTGATAATCAAAGGACAGCTGTTTCATCTTAAGCTTTACCTCTGGTTCTTTCTGCTCTGTGTCATGGACTCAGCTCTCCTAACACTGTTTGTAAGGCACTTGCTACAGCAGTGACTCAAGCTGTTCCAGAGCTGTACTGCAGTTTTGGAGGAAGTCAAAGTTTTCCTGTTTCTGGGGGGTCCCATTCTTGAGGTGCATTTAGTCCTTTAAAAACTAGTCTGGGAAGGTGGGTGACCTCATTGCTTGTCAAGAGGACAAAAGACAGCATCTTAGAGCAGCCCTGCTGTACCCTGTGAGGGGACTACCCTGATCAGCCATGAGATGCATTGAGCAATGTGTTTTGGGAACTGCTCTGTTGATAAGAGACATGAGTCAGTGTCACATTTCTTATCAAAGAGTGACGGGCATGAAGCACTTTTAAAATAGCAGGACATCATTCAGACTCATTAATAAGTCCCACTGTGCCAATGCAGTATCATTTCTCCCTTTATATTTTTAATATTTTCCTTCCAAAAAATCCCTTGAGAACTTTAAATTGGTCAAGAAGTGGGACAGAACTGTAATTTAACATCTGAGTCTTTTTTTTTGCCTGGCACTTGGCCTATATTTTTTCTTTTCTTAGTCCTATTCCATTGCTTGTTGCAGTGAAGTATATACCCGATTATTCAACTCACTTTGCACTTTCCTATGATTTGTACAAGTGTTCATCTTTTCTCCTCCCATAGGGAATTTGAGATCAGGACAAATCTCTGCCTATCCACATGCAGTGGAGGAAGCAGGAGGTCAGGCACAGAGAGCACCATGCAGCAAAGCTGCACAGCTGCTTGTCAGGAGCTTCTTGCACAATAGGAATGAAGTTGTGCAGTTCAGGCTGGATCAAAAAGAGCAGGAGGCTGATATGGATTGCCCACAAAGCCTTAAATATCCAGCAACACATTAAAGAAGCCAAGGCACTTCGCCATAATATGTGAGACTCTAACACATTGGGCCAAAATTCCCCCTTCCCCTGGGAAAAAGAACAACAGCACTCTACTGGATGAAAACATATTTTATTCCTAGACAGCATTCCTGTTTACATAGTTAAAGGGGAATTGTAAACTACATGCTGTCCTCCAAAAATTCTGCTCTTTTTTCCAGCATTGTGCATTACATGAACAGTTCCTGAAAGCCTCAAATCAGTGTTCCTAGGAGTAATGAGGTTTTTTTCAGAGGTTGAAAAGTTTAGTGGTTTATTCAGAGGCGAAGGGGCATTGTCTGTTTTGTATCTTAGAAACTTCAGGAATTGGATTTTCGTCCAGTCTTGCCAGGAGGAGTCTCAGAAATGGGGAGGACCAGACAAATGCCTCCTGAGAGGGCTGACCAGCTAGCAAAAGTGGCAGGAGTGTGGATGGTTGATAGAGCCCTATCTCCTCTCAGGCTCATCAGTCACCAGGAATACACAGGTTAACAAACACAGACAAAACTCTAAACTTAAAATGGTTCACTTAAGAAATCCCATTACCTCTGAATTCCTTATTTTCAGGTTTTTGACTCTTGTCACATTTCTGTGACTTCTCCAGACACAGTGTCTCCTAGAGGAAACTCTGAACTTTCCATGTGAGAGAACAAGCAGGTTTTTATTTATGACACCCTGTGAATCATCCTTAAATATCAAGGAATAGGAACAAGGCTTCCTTTTCACAGAAAAACCTTCAAGAGCTAATTTATAAAGGTCTTTTGTTTCATTCTTCTGGGCTACCAACCATCTGCGTTCACTGTGGTGATGGATAATGCCAGCGGAAAGCCGGGCTAGCTTCTGTGCTGTTTATCACAAGTGTGATGTTGACTTTCGAGTCACTTCCAAAGTGGGGGTGAAGCCTCAGCCCTGTCACACAGTAGCATCCATTTTCCCACAGTCTGCTTGGTACACAGAACATGAACAGTCCTCTTTTATCCAGAAACATAAAATAGGACGAAAGAAACAGCTCAAGGGCTTAGCTCTCACACAGACAGAAGGAGGAAAATAAACTAGAGGGTCAAAGCAGAGTAGATAAAAGAAGAGCAAACCAATATTATTAAGGCAATGAATTCTCAGAGCACTCAGTTTCTTCTAAGACATGATTGAGCTCAGCAGAAATGATACTGAGATATTGAATGGTAAAATTTAGCCTTGGGCAGAAGACCAGGCAGGCTTTGTGCATCACTTGCATCCTAACTTAACCTGTATGTTTTCAACAGTGCATAAGATGCATGCCAGCTCTACCCAGAAGACTAAATTTTCACTTTAGAATTGCCAGCAAAGAGTGAACAGTGAGAGTTTAGTTTTGTTTAGGAGAGGTTGGATAGAGGTCTCTTTCCCACAGAGACACGGCTGAATATTTTACTCTGTTTCTTTTTATTTTTAAGATGCTGGTCTGGCAAACAGTCTCTTAGTGTTTCTTCTGAGCAAGTCACTGACAAGGCATCTTGGTAGAAAAATTTGCATTTGTAATTTCCATGAGGAGTCTCCTGTGATGCAGAAGTTCCTTTTGCTACCTGAACCATGGGATTTAGATAAAGTTTGCAAACAGAACAATTTGCTTCAACAGTTTATTTTAAGTATGGTTGCCATAAAGATAACACATCCAAGGTGTTTTTGATGAAAAACTAGGGGGAGAGGAAGGGGTGGTAAATTAGATTTTTAAACCCCCCCCAACTGTAGTGAAGAATTGTTTTCCTGCTGTTGGTGGAGTTCAGGCTGTCTCTCAGCTGTGCTGGGAGGAGTGACTGCTCTGCTTGCTGACAACCCAATTCTTTGTTAATGCACTGGGTTCCCTGGCAGCATTGGCTGTGCCACTCTATGGCCTGAGACACCCCTGCCCCTCCTTTTGGGGACAGTGGGTGCTCTGGTGTGAAAAAGAATTCTTCCAGACAGTGACTCCTGGGAAGGAAGCCACACATGGATTCCCTAGACTCTAGTTCTTATGAGACATGACAATCAAGTCCAGATATGTTTCTGTCTACATATTTCAGTGAAATGATTTGTCTAACTGGGCAACAACATTTTGTTATGTAATTTTACTGCCTTTTGTTTCAAGAAAGAGAATGGATTCTCTTCCTAACAAACACTGGCTCCCCTGCAAGGGGAAGGAGGTGAGCAGTAGCCATAGTGCTCACAGCACAGACTGAAGGGGTAGGGCAGAGTTACACTAACCTGTACCCAGTTCCTGTTTCAGTGCCACCCGTCCCATTGCTGCAGCTGGAGAAGTGCTGCACCAGGAACAACAGTGTGACATTGGCCTGGAGGATGCCACCTTTGAGCCACAACCCAGTGGAGGGCTATATCTTGGAACTTGATGATGGAGATGGTGGCCAATTCCGAGTGAGAATTTCATTCAGCATTTATTTGTGTTTCTTTGTATGTGAGTTTCCTCCAGATACGGATTTGTTTCTGTCTGAGGGTGGGGAGAGGGGTACGGAAGATTCGGTTGTCAAAACATCCCGAATTCCATTGTGCTGGTGGAGAAAGCAGTGCAGATGCTGATTAATAGAAGGACCACTGGCCTAGGTAGGAAGTTTGTCTGAGGTTATTCTCAGGGCTCTTGGAAAGAGGGCCTTGAGATACGCCCAGTGCATTCCGGAGTAGAAAATCCCATATGAGCTTGCTGAGTATGAGAAGCTGGAAGTGTTTCATTGCACAAACCAGAAATGTCTTTGAAGCCCCTACTCTCATCTGTCCATTGCACCCTGTTTCAACAGCTGACATTCTAGGTCCAGAAATGCAACTCCGTCTTTCCTGATTTTCTGAGTAAAAATATGATCCTGCTTAAAAATACAGGGTTTCTAAACCTTTCCCTTGGGAATGGATGGGACCAGGCTGGTGGAAACTTTTTCCACTGTCATGCTGTGATGGAATTGATAAATATGGAAAGGCTTCCCAAGTGCTGCCCTCCAGATCCTCTGGTTGACGCCACAACGTGATGCTCCTGGTTGCAGGAGCAGGGTGCTTATGGGCTCCCATACTTTTTCAACATATCCTGATGAACAAACTAGAGAAGCAATTCAATCAGCTTTCTTCCAGCCATGTCCTCCTAGAAGCTGTGGCCCTTCCACCTCAGGCAGTCTTCATGCTCCTGTTGCTCAGGTCCAGGCTGGCCCAGTGCTTTCCCTAGGGGCTGGTGCCTCCAAAGCATCTGGACATCATTGTGGAGCACAGCTGCTCTCTTCACAAACAGCGAATTTTGCCAAAACCTTGTGATGGCATTTCTTCGGGAGCTGCAAAGTGGCTTCTCCCAGGAAACCTAAAGATTTCTCAAGCTGAAAATGTCCTGGCATGGATCCACCTAAGGAACTGCCAAACCACTACACCCATAGCCAGCAAAGGTGCCTCATTTGGACACTCCTCATTAGAAGAGGCAGCAATATTGGCAGGGCATTTTGAAGAGGGCATTGTGGTTTTTGGAAGGTCTCCTCAGTGGTTTCTCCCCAGTCCCTTGGTCCACGTAACATTTCACAGGGATTTGAAGAGTCTGGCTTCCATTACTGAAAGTGTGAAAAGGTATTTTTGTGAATGGCTGCTGAGAGCTGCCAATTTGGTCAATGTTAGTAGGTAAGAGGGTTATCAGTGTGTGATGAATGAAGAGTTAGAAGAAGGTGTTAGAATTCCAGTATCTTTTACCCAGTTTATCCCAGATAAACCTTTTAAAGTGGTATTCATGTCTTGTGAATTACAAGATTTCAGGCTGGTGCGTATCCAAGCTCATTTGTGTGGGTGAGTTTTGGAACTGCTAAAGGTTTTAGGACTGGCAGCAGTGCCATGTTAAGGTTTTGGATTGGAAAAGATACAAAACTATCTCAGTCCTTAAAAATGTAAGGTGATAACTTCTAAGGGGAATGGTCTGCTTGCTGTGGTAAAAGCATCCTCGGTTTTACCTGTTAAAATATAAAAGGCAGGCTTCTCAGCAATGCCATCTCAATAAGGGTTTGCTGACCTTTTAAATGGAGAATTCTATGTCTGAAAGCAAAGATGTTGACTGCAATTTATCAGTATTTGATGGGTGGATTTAAAGAACATTTTTATAGAAGCAGAGAGCATCAACCTGCATAAACTGAAGCAGCGAACAGTGGTAAGCATGAAGTGGGTTAGAAAATATGAGAGTTGCTCAACAAATACAAAATTTTTTCACAGTCAGCATCTCTTGTGACATGGAGGTAAATTAAGTTATTCTATTAAAAGTCTTCTTTGTCTCCATGATTGATCACCAGCTAACTCAGGACCCGAGATTTTGTTGTTTGTAGCAGCCACCATAGTAGCAAAGAGGACAAACACATGTCCTGCTGTAAACTTAATCAATTCCTGTCTTATTCATCACATCCTTTTGGGTTTATATGAGAGAGCCTTAACCATCAGAACTATTCCTGGGCATTACTAAGGTCTTAACTGAACTGGGATCTGAGTGTTTTGCCTAGTGACAGGTTTAAGCACTTTGGTCCCTTTGCTACCATAAACCTACAGATTTCACAGAACCAGAGAAATCAGAGGTGGAAAGGAAATATATTTCAACCTGCTGCCAAGACAGGATTTTCTAGGCCTCTTTCAGTTCATCGTAGCCTGCATAATCTCATCCTCTTCACTGGTCTGCCTAGATGTTCCTCCCTCTGAAATATTTCACATTACAGAACTACTTGCTGTATGATAAATATTTGAAGATCTTTTTTATGTCTCTGTTGTCTAGATACATTTCATCATGTCGGGAATGTAATCCTAATTTTTAGGAGTTAATTTTCTTCTGGATCTGTTTTCAGGTTTCAAAACAATATTTTAACCTAGGCATGAGAGAACCTTTCCAATAGAACAAAACTGCTCTTGTTTTGTTTTTTTTTATTCTTATAAAATGCCCCCTTTTTTTGTCTTACATAAAATAGTGGCCACAGTGTGTCAGATACTGGGACTACTCTCCAAAATAGTGTTTTGGAGTAGATATTTAGGATAAGAGGAGCATGAAGATCTTTCTGTGCTGCCCTTTATTGCTTTACCCTTCCAGCTTCATCTCCACCTTAGTTTGTTCAGTGCTGACCATCCTTGATGTCTCCCATGCTGTGGCTGTTTGTATTATACCAGCATAACTCATTCATCCTGGGAAGCAAAGAGAAGCTGTTCACTTTTTGCTTATATTTAGAAGTCTTAACTATGTTTAAACTAAGTCCCTCATTCTCTCTCTTTCTCGTGTTTTTTGGAATGTTTAGGAGGTATATGTTGGCAAGGAGACCCTCTGCACCATCGACGGCCTTCATTTCAACAGCACTTACAATGCCAGGGTCAAAGCTTTCAACTCCTCGGGCGTTGGTCCTTACAGCAAGACGGTCATTTTACAGACATCAGATGGTGAGCTGGGCCTTTGCCACTCTCTAAATGAAAAGCTGCAGGTCTCAGTGGCAGGACACTTTCATCCCTTTACACCCATTAATGTATCTGACACCTACTGGCATTTTCCATTATCAGTAATGCTTCAGGCTTCAAGTCGTGTGATTTTAGTTGGCTGTAAAAGTCTAGGATCTAACTGAGAGAGTTTCCTTATCATACAGAAACAGTTATGCAACTCATGGGATATTTTTTGTTCTACTCTGTCTCCCTTTCTACATACATCTTTGGGATTTGCCTTTTTCTTCACTACTGCTTCAATTTCCCTGCAAGGTTTGATAATACAGAGATGGGAACTCATGCTTGTTCCCCTGTAATTATGCTTGACATCCATACGGACATTACGGGAAGTTCATCTTCATTAATGATATTGTAATGAATTGAGAAGTGCATGCTATTATCACTTCCACTTTTATGCTGTGTTGCCAAAATAGGCCAGTATAAAATATTTATATTGCAAGAGCTTTTGGGGCCTTTTTTCCCTTTCCTTAAAAAAACCCTTCACTTTGAAAAACTGGTGAAGTCAATCCTAACCAGCATGGACACAGCTAATCTCCATTTCCATTGAAGGCGATCCTGAACCAATTCACTGACACGAGCAGTTTCCATCTCATGGAGCAGCCTTTGTCTCCTCAGTGACTCTCTTGTTCCTGTGTGTGGACAGAATGTCACTACCCTTAGCAGCTAAATTTCAGGGGAACAAGCACAAATGATGTAAAGCACTTCTGAGCTGAAGAGCAGCAGGGTACCAGCTCAGATTAATCTTGTGTAGCTGCCTACAGTAAAAAGGAAAGATGGTCTTTATTACCTCAGAGTACAGTGGGGTCTTTACAAAGGCGGAATTTTATCCTTCTTACTTGAGTTGAACAGACAACACATGGACACAGCCCCTCCTGATCTAATCCTTTCTTTCCCGTTCCACAGTGGCGTGGTTCACCTTTGACCCCTCGTCAGCCCACAGAGACATAGTGCTGTCCAATGACAACCAGACTGCCACCTGCAACAGCTACGATGACCGGGTGGTGCTGGGCACCGCCGCCTTCTCCAAGGGCGTGCATTACTGGGAGCTGCACGTGGACCGCTACGACAACCACCCGGACCCGGCCTTCGGCATCGCCAGGATTAACGTGGTCAAGGACATGATGCTGGGCAAGGACGACAAGGCCTGGGCCATGTATGTGGACAACAACCGCAGCTGGTTCATGCACTGCAACTCCCACACCAACCGGTGAGTGCTGCCTGGGGCTTTTCTCCTCGCACACATTTCCTCTGCCCTGCATTGTGGTGGTGTTCGCTGGGGTCCCAGGATGAGGGAAGAGATGAGAATCTTGACTCCACATTTCAGAAGGCTGATTTATTATTTTATGATATATATGATATTAAAAGAAAATTATATACTAGAACTATACTAAAAGAATAGAAGAAAGTATTTCATCAGAAGGCTAGCAATGAAGGGAAAAGAATTATAATAAAATCTTGTGACTGACCAGAGAGTCCGAGACAGCTGGACTGTGGTTGGCCATTAATTAAAAACAACCACATGAGACCAATCAAAGATGCACCCATTGCATTCCACAGCAGCAGATAATTATTGTTTACATTTAATTTCTGAGGCCTTTCAGCTTCTCAGGAGAAAAGATTCTAATGAAAGGATTTTTCATAAAATATGTCCATGACACTGCATCTGAGGCCAGTGCCTCAGCAAGCCATCTAGTCCAGCTCCTGGCTAAATGTACTCATTTTATTCCTTCTTAAAAATCACTAGTGACAGTGATTGCACCTTAACAGTCTGTGTTGGTGTTTGTTATCCTCACAGTTATCAGTTTTTCCCTGAGATTTTGCCTAAATGCCCCCTGCTGGGACTTAAACCCATTATGCCATGTCCCACCCACATCAGCAGACAGGGGCATGGCACGATGGGATGCAGGGCTTCTGTCATTGCTGGAGGGAGAAAGGCGGTTGATCCTCTTCATTAGGAGGAATCTTGGCTGCAGATTGGGCTGCAGGTGTTTGTCTCCAGTTCTGACAGCGATTAAGGGTTTTGCTGTAGGTCGCACTGAGGCAGATCTGGATACAAGGGACCATTTGGCAGTGAGGGCTGAGTGACAGCTTTCATTGTACTGAAGAGCTTTGAAAAGCACCTCAACTAGTACAACCAGCTTAGACAGAGGAGGATTTCAGGATGTCCCCAAGCCACTGTTACCAAGCCTCTCTGTCCCACCACTCAGAGGCTCTGTGTTGTCAATGCAACTGAGCAGTGGAGAGACATGTTTTAGCTGCAGGTACCTCAGGGATGGATCACACAGAGAGAACAACTGTCAGCACAGATCCTGTGTTGTGCTGACACGGTTGCATGACTTTCAGTGCTCAGGATAGTTACTTCTGCCTAGTGCTGGCTTCTTTTTCATTAAAGTGATGCCAGACTGTGCAGGGGATGCATGGTAACTTTGCTTGGAGGTATCAGAGCAGAACTGCACTGCTCTCTTTCTGGGTCCCATGAGAGGGTCAGCCTTAGCTGAAGGCCAGCTGGGTACTGAGACCTTTGAGAAAATCTCTGAAAAGGATCTGAACTCACTTGCTTATTTTGGAATATGGTGTATTCATATACCTGTTCTATCACAATGGGAAATTGATGTATGAGTAAAGTGACTGACTAAGGATATGTAGCAGGTCTGTGGCAGATCTGGAATCAACTTCTGTTTAGTTTTCTACTGACTGTCCCACCAGACTCTCACTGTCTCAGGTGTTTTTTCTGTTACACCAAATGATTAAAACAAAGTTTTACAGTGATTTTTAAAACACTGAAATGCGAGTATCTCCTTGAAGCGATAAGATTGTGTCAACATGCACTGTGTCCTAAGGTTGATTGTAATGTCTCCCACTGCACTGTCATTTGTACTCTACAGCATACCCGTGCTTTAAGTGAGTACACTGCAATTGCTGAAAATTTCTGTTTGAAACATGGTTTGATTTTGCAGTCCATTACAGACAGGTGGAAGGACCTTGTAGCTGGATCAAAAGCTGTCTGAAGTCACTTGGATTGTTCTCCATGGGTCCAAAAACCTTAGATCATGTTCTAAGACAATACAGAGTAAAATAACATCAGTGTAATAAGTATACCAAAAAGTTCTCTGTCCCTTTAACATCTTGATTCAATTCAGGGCGGAAGTAATGTTAAGCTGTATTAATTTTAATGCTCTGTGGAACAGCTTATGTTTTCTGGAAAAAAGCTGGCAACCATTCTGTGCACCACTGTCCCAGAAACCTATTTTATGGATTTGGTCCTCGGCATGCTCCTCCCGGCAAGCAGCACACAAGCTAAGCAAAACCTTTTTTCTGGGAAACACAAGCAATGGAAACACTTAGCGTTTCCAATCATCCTGCTTAATCAAGAGAACAAAGTGCTTTCTGTTGATGATAGTTTCCCAGTTTTTACCTGATAAAACACAAAAGGCATGTGCAAGGCATGGATAGACCCATGGAATATCTGTTCAAGGGAAGTACACTCGCAAAGGGCATGCAGTCTTATGAAATCACATGCGCTTCAATGAAATTAGGTCTAGGCATTATATTTTTAACTGTGACAGTCAACTAGGTCAGTTTTTTAACTCATTAGCTGTAATAGTCTTGTGGAAACAGTTATTGCTGCCTGTTTGTTTTTCCCCACTGGACACGAGTGCATGACGGCACAGCATCACAATCCAAAGCAAATTCATTGTCAACTTTTAGCTTCTGGGATGTTGTTATGATGAACGTTACACCTTAGTAATAGTTTCTTGTTTCCTAATCTTCATGAGAATAAATCAGGGTAATTAATAAGTGACTAGTTTCAAGGATAACCTGAGATAGAGCTTGAAAGACTAATTTGTGTTACCTGTAACATTTTCTGTTCCTTTCACTCACAGCATACAAAATTGGATCTAGCATGACTTCTGTAATGCTGGAAGGGGCATGAACAGGAAATTATAATGCATCCAGAAACAGAGGGATCCTTTTGAGAACAGGCTGAGGAAATTGGTTGAGAAAATACTTTAGGGCAGAGATAAAGGTTTTGGAGGTACCTTTAAGTCTTACTGTTCCCAGAAAGCTGAGCCTGGGAAAATCATGGAACAGATCCTTCCAGAAGCTGTGCTAAGGCACGTGGAGGACAGGGAGGTAATTGAAGACAGTGAGCATGGCTTTACCAAGGGCAAGTCCTTTATGATGGAGTGACTACAGCAGTGGACAAGGGAAGAGCTATGGGCAACATCCATCTGCACTTCTGTAAGGCCCTTGATATGGTCCCCCACAAAATCCTTCTCTCCAAATTGGAGACACATGGATTTGACGGATGTCTGATGGATAAGGAATTGGTCGGATATTCACATCCAAAGGGTAGTGGGCAGCAGCTAGATGTTCAGATGGAGGCTGGTGACAAGTGACAAGTGACCCTCAGAGGTCCATACTGGGGCCAGTTCTGTTTATTGTCTTCATCAATGTCATAGAGAGCGGGATCAAGTGCACCCTCAGCAAGGTCACCAAGCTGAGTGCTGTGGTTGGCACACCTGAGGGACAAGGAGCCACCCAGATGGACCTGGATAACTTCAAGAAGTGGGGCCATGGGAACCTCATGGGCTTCAGCAAAGCAGAGTGCAGACCCTGCGTGTGGGTCAGGGCAGGATGGAGGATGAAGGGATTGACAGCACTCCTGCCAAGAAGGGCTTGGGGATATTGAGGGGCTGATCATGGTCTGTCAGTGTGCACTTGCAGCCCAGAAGGACAACTGTGTCCTGGGCAAAAATTGTCAGAGGGATGGAACATCGCTCCTTTGAAGGAAGACTGAGGGAGTGGGGATGCTCAGCCTGGAGAGGAGAAAGCTCCAGGGAGACCTGATTGTGGTCCTTCAGTACTTGGAGGGGGTTTATAAGAAAGATGGGGATGGTCTTTTTAGCAGGGCTTCTTGTTCTAGGACAAGGGGAGATAGTTCTGAACTGAAAGAAGATAAATTCAGACTAACTATAAGGAAGACATTTTTTTAAAACGAGGATGGTGAAACACTAGAACTGGTAGCTCAGAGATGTTGTGGATGCCCCATCCCTAAAAATATTCAAGGTCAGATTGGGTGAGCTTCTGAGCAGCTCGACCTAATTGAAGATGTTCCTGTTTTTTGGATGGAGATTGGACTAGATGACCTTTAAAGGTCCCTTCCAATCCAAACTGTTCTGAGAGGTGCTGGATGCCCATTAACAAGAGGCGCTGACATTCAATGCCATAGATCTGTTCCTTGGCAAAGTTCCCAAGAGGAGGACTACCAGGTGCTACAGGCAATACTCCAGCCACCACATGTCCATGGAAAGAAGCAGATGTAAATCTCCTTGAAATAAATATTTTATACTGAAAACCAACAGAAAGTTGAAATCCAGAGTATTTGCATTTTAGTCTTTAAAGTCCCTTGCAATCAGGAGAGTCTCTTCAGATATCTTAAGAGCAGGTTTTTTCATCACACAAAAATGCTACAACTGAATGAAAAATGCTATAATTAGCAATAGATATCATAAAGTTTTTAAGATGCTGTAAAGCTAACACTTAAAGTATTGTAATGGAGAGTTGAATTAATTATTCAGTTTATTGTTCATAAATTGTTAATATTTATTTTTAAATAATAGTGAAACTACTCTTAATTCCTCAAGCCAGTTCATGCAATCATATTCTGTACATTGTCCAAGCTGTTACTGAAAGCATCTTGGAATAACAGCCTCTACTGCCACAGGCAACTGCATTTTTCATGGTAGCCAAATTCCCCTTTTTATACTCTGACCTTCCAGGCTTCTGCACAGCACTTCTGCCTCAGGACTGAGTGTTGCATGCAGAAATCAAAATGTTCAAATGATTTACTTGAAAAAATGAAACAATGTTACCTATCTTCAGAACTGGATTGTCCTTTAATAAATACTAAGTATTTATTAAGGGAGCATTGCAACAAAAAAGTTGTATTTTCCTTTTACATGAAAGGTTATTGGGGTTGTGTGGTATAAGTGTCATTAAGTAGTTTAAAAATGCATTGCAGCAAAGGAGCAGGTTTTTTATGTGGTCCCACAGAGGTGTACCAGGAGGGAACAACATCACTTTGAGTCTCTTGAGCTATTTGGCTTTTTTACCACAACAAAAGCATTTATTAGAAAAATTATCCTGTAATGCTGTCTAAATGGTGCACATAAGAGCGAGGAAATGTATAGCAGAAGTTTTTTCATAAAACGGACTCCCCCAGCTCTCCTCCTAGAGAAAGGAACCAGGAAAATAGTCCTCAAAGCGCTGTTCCCAAGGAAGCATGGGATGCAGAGTAAGAGCAGCTGTTCAGCCCCAGCAGAAGTCCAGCCTCCCTTGTAGCAGTGTGGTGAAGAGCTCCTGCCCGCTTCTGTCCTCCCTAAATCCTGCCAGAGCCGCTTTCTCACTGTGGGGAGGTGATGGGGTAGGAGTGGGACAATCTGCCTGCTGAATTCCTGCAGAACTTGGGGCAGGAATAAAGGGAGAAGGTTCCCATCCTTGTGCTCTGCCCCCACACCCCTGTGGCTCGTGTAGGGGCCTCAGCTGGGTCCTGCCCTTGCCTGGCTGGAATCTGCAGGCAGAATCTGTCTCCTCCTCAGTGGGGCTGTCCCCGGGGGCTGCAGAGGGGTCACTCAATATCACTGCGCAGCACACAGCTAATCAGCCCACGAGAAACAAATTAGCTTGTCATATAGGAAAGAACATCATAATCTCAAAAAAAATGAGGTTGCTGGTTCTGTTTCCCTAAGAGAATCTATGTCGTTTAAAAGGATGCAATAAAATCCATTTTAAGCAGGATCTAAAATATGGTGTCCTACGTGCAAAGCTGTTCCTAAACAGAGAGGAAAAAAAAGTAATCTACTTGTAAATAGCTCCAAATCATAGTACTATTGCTTCCCACAATCTCATAGTTTTATGATTGAGGGCTTTTAATCAAAACAGTCTATATATTGAGATACTCATGGTAGGTAAGCATCTTAAATTTTGGTGGAAAATAATTTATTTTGTGATTTTGGAGAAGAGCTCAGTGAGAAACCTATTAATGCTTATAGGACCAGAAATCAAATCAAAGGCATCTGAGTGAATTTCCACATCTAAAACCTCTCAGAGTCAATCCATGATTCTTAGCTGTACTATTATTGTTTGAAGACCTTTAAATGGAGAAGTCAGAACAGTTTTCTGTAATCTGCCTTCAGACGAAGTGCCACGTGCCGCATTTAGTCTAAAGGAAAACAGTTTGTGACACCTAGTGGACAAGAGGAAAATTTCTTACCCTGTGCTACATTCTTCCTAATCATATTCCAGTCCCCCCTCCTTTTTAATTTTTTTTTATGTTTTGCTCACCTATTGTGATAAATTTTACTATAAAATACCATTAATCTTGTGATTGTTGTGTGCCTGAGGGGAGTGCATGGGACAAAAGACAGCTGCTTCCTTTCCTACTGCAAATTATTTGAAATCTGATTTACCCTGGACAAATAGTGTCAGGCTGTAAATCCATTGCAGAGCCCCATGATATCAGCAGAATGGCAGTGCCTGTGGCCAATCTGCCTATCCAGTGGGTATTTTTGCTCAGTGTCCTTTAAAGTAATACTGAGTTTGACTAACCCCCGAGTCAAAGTGCATTAATGTCAAATCACTGAAGCGTGTAATGGCTGGCTGAGTGTGTCCTGGCAAGCTCTGACTCTGCAGGAGCTCTCAGCAGCTGCTCCTGACACAACCAATTAGCACTGGTGTTAATAACTGGGCCTGCACACTCGAGACAGCTCCCAGTCCTTTAGCTGAGCACCTTGGCAATCAGAAGCTACACTTAGGCCTAACCAGTCCCAGCTTCCCCTCCTCCCCAAAACCACTGTCTGTTGTACCTGTGCTCCTCCCTGGGCTCTGGGAGTCTGGGTTCCCTTAGAGCATGCCAAGGTGAGTAGTTGAACTTAAAATCTCTCTCTGGAGCTGTTAGCAGGCACATTGATTAGAAATGAACACCTAGCTAAATAGCTTCCTGCTTTTTCATTTCCTGCCATGCATCACTTCACTGTAACAGGGATACTCAGAAGTGATGTGTCTGCAGGACACCCCTGGCTCACCTCCCAGTTTGTCATTAGCTGTTAGCTCTGGACCCCATTTTCACCTCTTAAATTGCAGTTTCAGGAGAAGGGGATCTATTTCTGTTTAGAATCCTTCCATTAAGCTCCCATGGATGTGCTATGTGTGCTTCAGATAAATGTGTGGATCAGTCATCACCAAATGCCTCAGGGATAATCATTTCCCTGTGCTGCTCCGCGCTCCCTTTGCTAAGTAAGGCTGGTTTGTCCTGGAGAGAGCAGCACAGTGTGCTCTGCCTTCACCAACAATGTGCCCTTTGTTCCTTAGGACTGAAGGAGGAGTTTCTAAAGGTGCCACTGTTGGTGTGCTGCTGGATCTGAACAAGCACAACCTGACCTTTTACATCAATGGGCAGCAGCAGGGGCCTCCAGCATTTGAAAACATCGAGGGCGTCTTCATGCCTGCACTGAGCCTCAATAGAAACGTCCAGGTAAATCTGCAGTCCAGCCACACCTGCCCTTTCCAACTAAAGGGGCTGATGGCATCATCTGTGGGTAGTCAGTACAGACAGGGGTTCTTTTCCTTCTCAGGCTTACTTCTAGGCTACTCACACTTTTTAGTGCATTTGACCTTCTGCCTTGCCTAACCAATGTGAAGAGTAATGCTGTAAAACAAGTGAAAGTACCTGCATGCACTGACTCCTACTCTGATTTTCCTGTGATGCTCCACTTGGAAAGCAGTGTCTCTAAAGTTCTCCCCTGCCAGTTTGACTAAAAACCATCTTAATTCCTCCTAGATCTCATGTTTGGAGATAATTAACATTGGCAAATGACCGAAGTATGAGCAGCACAGTGGTAAGGAGAGCAAAGGCAACATAGGTCAGAGAAGTGGCACAACAGAGCATATCAGTGAGCACATCATTCTTGTGCTCTGTGTACAAGAGGTTTTCCTCTTGGAGGAACTGTCTATAAAAATAATGCATTTTTACTTCAAGACCACTGCTTATGGCTAGAAACCAGGTGTGGTATGAGAGAGAACCTGGGGAAACACCCAGGAGCCTGAGGACTGAGGGAGGTCAGCTTAGGTCAGGCAGGACCAGGACAGCCAGGGTGGAACACTCATCATGTCCATGGGCTCCACTGCGTGACCTCAGTCCTGAAGCACTTGGGGTCCCTCATGCAGAGATCCCATCAACCTTCTACCTACCTACCTACCCACCTAACTACCTTCCTACCTTCTGGATACCTACAACTGGTGGCTAGATTTGGGAAAAGATACAGACACCTGGCTTCTCGGAACCAAAGTATTCAGGAGGGAAGGAGGAAGGAATCTTGTTTATTTCTAAGACTAGATATCATCTCCATTAATAGTCTTGATTTAAATTGGACCTGCAGTCCTGCAGCCCTTTCCATGTCATTTGCCTGCACTTTGCCTTCACAGATGCTCTTTGCTGAGGATGTCTCAGTTTTGAATCTAATGTTATTTCTTCTTTGTGCAGGTGACCCTGCACACAGGACTGGAGGTGCCACAATCCGTAAAACAGCCCAAGCTGCCCAACAACTAATGAAGCCCGTCTAACACTGTGCTTTATTCTGCAAGCTTTCTCAGTGTGTTTTGGCACTTTTCAGTAAGTCAGTAAAAAAGCATCCTCTTCCCTGACTTCAAACACTGTGCAGCATGCTGCTCACCAAGTAATCGGCTGGTTAGAGCTAGGCCACTCCATTTTCAATTTAACAGCCATTACAAGCACATCCACTGGACTGGCACTCAACTGCAGATGGGTACCTGAACATATCTACTCTGCATTGCATACATATGTACACTCATGTGCACACACACACAAACACGTCTGTAAAGCAAAAGGTTAAATGAGTGCATTTTCTCTCTCATGGCTGGATTTGTGCTTAAATGTTAGGGATGCTGGAAAAAATGGGTGAGGTTGAAGGACAGTGGATGTTGGAGCAGTTTACCAGTAGATGAACTGGATTCCCTTGCCACCTGAAGTCCTTAAATAAAAAAAGCATATGTTTTGACAGCTGAAGTGGAGGTTATATGCTCAAGAATTCCTGGTTGTCAATTCCTTTCAGGGGCTCAAATGATCATGGATTATTCCTTCTGGCTCTAGACTGCAGTAAGTTATAGGATAATGTCCCCTTAGGATTCAGTGGCAGAACTTATCTGCAATGAGAATGAGATTGGTTCCCAAACGCTGCCATGAAATAGCTGGGTTCATTTTAGCTAACACCATGATACATGCAGAATTCAGGTACAGAAAGTTGAAAGAAAAACATCCTTGATGCATTTTAGTGTTTGTTATTTAGGCATGACTACGGAGACACAGAAGATCTGGTTGTGGTTATCAGCCCAACTCTTAAAAAAAAGTGCATGGGAGATTCCTTTGAACTAAGATTTATTTAAATATGGCACATGCAAAGTCTCCCACATTGAGAAATGATGCTTTCCAGCCTTGATCCTAATAAAACCTGTGCAGCTGTAGTTCCAATGTAGCTTTGAGATCTGAAGCCTTAATTTTCTAGTAGATTACTGTGAGCTAATTAAAGTCTTGATCATAATGAAACACTTGAGAGAGATTAATAGTAGTAATGCAAAACCCATCCCTAAGAATTTTTCTGGATTGGGACATAAATCTTTTGCAAGACTTGACCTGTGCCTGGCATGTCCCACAAAAACAAGCAGCCATTTCAGGTGCTGCCTGTGACAACTGGAGTCTGATTGACAGTGATCTTTTCTCACAGCCATGGCACTGTCACCTGCATGCAGTTGTCAGAAAACCAAGCACTGGTTTGCCTGTGTGCTTCATTTCCTCTGAACCCAGTTAACATGTGCAAGTGTGTGTGTGTGTGTGTGTATAGTGGCAATGCGTGAGGACGAGATGCAGCAGGCTTGGTGAGCCCATGACATCTTGGACTCTTGTCACTCTCACCCTACAGAAATGTGGTGCTATCAAACAAGAAGAGCATAAACTTTCACATCCTATCAATGTACTATTTCCTTTTTTAAAATCCTGCTGCTTATACAAATTTTCCTCTTCAAGCATACGTATACGCACACACATATTATCAGGCGTGTAATTATTAAACCTGAAAACAAATATTCCAACCAACATCCAGCTTACTGCCTTGCATTAAAGCACAGCCACAGGACAAACATCCCAGGCCTGCCTTCAGGCATCCTGCCAGCCCCTAGATATCCTGCTGCAGGCCCCCCTTCTGCTCTCTGTCTGGAGCACATCGCTCAGGTGGTGCTGAGTGAGGGCAAGGCTTCCCTGTGGCAAACAGCCAGAATCTCCCGTGGATCATCCCACCTCACAGCCATTGTGGGAAGGAAAAGGCAGCCCAGAACAGAGCTGGGCTATTGCACAGACACAAAGCAGTCTGCCATCCTGCTGCCTGTAGCCAACCAAGCATCCTGTAGCCCACCTCTCCTGCAGGACAGCAACGCACCTTCAGCAACGTCAAGACTGAAACAGGAAATAAAACCAACAATGGAAAAATAATAACATATGCTTTTAAGTGAGGAAGCAACAGCACTTCCTTTAAAGTCTGGAATGGATTGTATTAGTAAACTTGTAGACAATGGAATAACTGTGCTATGCTTATCTTGGTTTTGTAAAGAATATCAGAGACCAACTGTGTTATAATCTTCGGTTTCATTCAATACCATACAAACTCATGCAAGATTTTCTAATTAGCAGGTCTGTTTTCACCTACCTCAGCTAGAATGCTACCAGACCCCAGATTTCCTCTTGAGTGTGCTCTTCAATGAACCTAACAGTTGTAATCATAGCATTGGCTTTGAGTATTGCCAGTCGGAGTAGTGTATGGGAATATTGTACATAAATTGCACATAGTTTTTATATGGGGAAACATCCTGTGATAATTTTAATATGGAAGGCACTCCACTTTCACTTGTATTCAAAAAGACAGGGCATTGTTTCGTTTGGGACAGAACCTTTGTCTTTACTCCCAACTTCTGTAAAGGAAACTCAAACGAATTTACATCTTTCCGATCTTCAACTATTGCCAGATGTTTAAAATTAATTCTGAATGGGTTTTAGAAGTGTTTGCAGTACTCAGTTTTCGTTTTCATAGTTGCTTTGGTGTTGGTTCCTGGTGTATTATATCTTGGGGAGAACACATTGAGTGACATGTTGTTGATTTCTAATGAATATATGGACAGTAGGTAGGAACAGTGAGTAGAGAAGCTCAGTTTTTACCCTCTATGCATTCCAACATTCACAAAAGTAGGGTAGCTACCGTTATAGTCTCCTTTTAACCTAGCAGAAATGCAAAGAAGTTAAAAGGAATACAGTTAGAAATAGGCTACTTACTACTGCATTAGTAAGACTACTTTACCTTAGGTAAAGAACTAAACAAAGCATTTGCATGTGTTGGTTGTGTACACAATCAAGGACTTACATTTGGCATGGCCTGTAGCAATAAACCTGTTATCCTCATAGAGTGCACTCCCGTGACTTCAGCTGGATGCATTTTCCTAGTTTGAGTAACAGAAATAATGCTTAAGTAGTTAAAATTACTCTAGCAAACTAACAACTCCACACATTAATATTTATGCAGAGCTTGCAGGGGCCATCTGAACAGCAGCAGGGAGAGGTGGGGCACTCCCATTGCTCTGCTCAGGCTGGAGGTAGTTTCCTTCTCTGCAGGCAACTTCCCCAAGGTCCATCTCATTACAAACCCAGCAGTTTGCACATTCTTCATCTATAGTATCTCTTATGCCAGTTTTTGTTTCCTCCAAGTCCTTTCTTTGGGAGGGAGCCAGCATTTAGTCTCTGTAGAAACTGCGCTGCTGACTGTTCAGGGAGAACCCAGAGCACAGAAGACTGGAATAGATACCCAAGGGGACCACTTTGTGTGCTCTTCTTCCTTTTGTTCCCTCAGAGTATTTCTGCAGCTCTCTGGGGCTCCAAGCTCACCCAAAGCTGCCTGTCATGGGACTCTTCAGCTTCAGAGGCCAGGTTGCTTCTTATAAGCAGGAGAGCAAAGCCTCTTGCACTGGGACAAATCCCATCCTCTATGGTACAGAGCCTATACCAGGTAGCTGTAAATTGACTTAACATTTAAAAAACCCCAAAGCACAAACAGGCCCTCCCCTTATTAACAAAAGAAAGCTTGACTTCTGCACACACCAGTATGGAACCTCTGAACAGCTGCAAAGTAAATACCGCAGTTGAACTTCCTGTCCTGCAGAGCAACAAAGGACTCTCGGTTTTCACCTACCCCTGGGAGCCCCAGCCTTAGCCCTTTGTAAACCTTCTTCCTGGCTCTTTCCTCTGCCAATTTCTATTAAGTTCTGGAGCACTGTCAGACTTCACAAGGCATGCAATGCTATGCAAATTCCACTTCCTCCTTTTCCCTCATCTTGAAAAGAGTTCACAAGATCTCTTAGTAAGACTTAATGTCAATATAAGCACACATGTAGCTGACAATCCCTTGCTCCTTCTGCTGTGGAAAGGTATGTGCTGTAAAATAAATCACAGTGAGGACAGTAATATACTGTGATGTATTACAAATTTGGAAAGCAATTTGACTTCTAAAAACATAGAAAAGATGGGCAAACAGCACTGTCACCTCCTATACTTGCCTATGCACTTAAGATACACAGAGGAAAATATATTGGACTGAACAAAATAAATAAAATAAGTACGAGCTTACATTTATCAGAGTTTAAGAGGAAAAAGTATTAAATGTAATTTATTATATGCATAATGTTCCATCATGTTGTAAATAATGCCATGATAGTGTATTGCTGTAGTTTGTTCTTGGCTGGTGATAGAGTTCTGTGGTAGTGCTGTGTAAGTCGTTTTTTATTTTATTTTTTTCCCTCAAAGCACAGTTAGTAAAGATGACAGAGACCACCCCACACTCTGGTTTCCCAGTTGTTCTAGAGCTAGAAGAAATGCGAGACGCAGCTTGTTTTGTTGTTGTTGTTTTCTTACATGACAATATTTCTTAAGGTAAGAGAGATGAGATTAAGGCTAAGCTGCCACCACCACTGTATGAAAACCACTGTGTTTGCAACTGCCAACAAGAGGTAGTGCATTTATGGACCACAATTCACATCACCTGTCCCTGTGAAAAGGGACACAAAATTCCACAACCTGGGAACAGCAGCTTTCTGGTGCCACCTGGTACATCCTTTGGTCACAAACAGAAAGATGAGGAAGGAGAGTTGTTAGACCTTATCTCAGGCTTTACTAGCTTTGCAGCATTCTGCTTTAAATAGCAAAACCAAGAATTCAATTTTGAACCAGGCAAGGTAATATGAAAACACCAAGCATCTTGGCCAGATCAACTTTGGAAGGGAGATTACAGTTACAGATCAACCACATTGCAAATGTAAAGGGCACTTGTCACTGAAAATTACCAGGCAAAGATGGAGAGTCCTTTCATTATTTATTTTAGGGAAAAAAAGTGAGCTGCTTCTAGTTTTTACTGACAACATTTCTGGTGGTTCCTCTGCCCAGCTCTAGTGAATGCTGCACACACACAGCCAGGTGGAGCAGCAGCCTGAAGCACAAATCCATCATTAATAGGACACACTTGGTCTTCCCAGGTGCAGAAATAAGCCCATATGCAAACCCAAGAGACTAGATGTGTGGGGCTCCTGCATCATTGCACAATACAGGAGACAGATGTGTGTTTCACTGACAGAGGCACTCAGCAGCATTTCCCCTTTGTTAAATGACCTTTTTGTTACATGTGTTATTGCAAACAGTTCCAAGCAGAATTAATTAAAAATTATTTTTATGCTAATTGGAGAATTTCTAACATTTTCTTGTGAAGCAGTAGATAGAAATATTCCTGGATCCTGATTGCATTCCTTTATCCTCCACCTCCCTTAAATGTTGTCAATAAAAACACTAACCTTCCTAGGTAGCATGGTGAGAAGACATTATGTGATGAATATTAAAAATAAATGCATGAGGTAAACCTGCTGTTATTTCTGATTGTTATATGAAGCATGAGTAACACTAATTTAAATGTTGGCAACTAAAAAACTGCAAAGAAAAAAGAAAACGGTGTTCAATTCCAGTTAAATGGAAGACAAGAAGTTGTTTCTAAGTTTTCTTAACTACAACATTTCTTTTCTTGACTATCATTTCCCATAGCTTATATGAATTTGGAGCTGGTGAAATATACATCTCTGCTATATGTGTCTGTCACCAGATCAAGAGGAAAATACAAACTTTTTATAATTTTGTACCTGTAGCAAACGTTTGTATTTTTTGAATTAGAAACAAACTGCTTTTTGTCTTTTGGTCCAACTAAAACTTTGTGTATTATTACTATTATTACCCTTTTGGAAAACCTGATATATAAGTTTATGCTGTTTTACAGTTTATAAATAAATTGTTATAACATTGCCAACAAATCCAGCATCAGTACCCTATTTATTTTTACAGATTATGATTACATAGATGAGGCATTCATACAGTTTGCATGCCTATCTCCTACTGTTGATACTGCTTTGTTACCTACAGTCAAGAATAATCCAGTTAATGGAGAAAGCCAATGTGTCCTTCCTTAGAGCAACCATCTGTGCCTCAGCTTCAGACATACCCTGATTCAGTGGCCTGGAACACCTCTCTTTGTCAGCACTGCTCTGCTAGCTCTGGCTCATGTTGCTTACAGAACACTTCAAAACAACTTGGAGACATGATATGAAAAAGCAAACCTACCTCCAGGTAACAGAAGCCTTTCATAATGCATACACACATTAAGTGTGAAAGTGCAAAACTTCAAATAAACTTTGTTTTCCCCAAAAGCTTTCACATTCCACTGTTGACTTGGCATTTCAGTTTTCAACTTTCTAATTTAAGAACTGATTTTTTTTCAACTTTTTACAGATCTTACAAGCTCAACTGCAAAAGTTACACTCCATTCTAAGTTTCACTCCCAAATAGCTTTTGAGAGCTGTGGAGGTGGAAAGTGAACATTTTAACTTACCAAAGCTGATGGAGAACATTAAGTCCCACATTATATGCCAAGTGAGATGAACAAAACTTTATCATGAAGTGAGCAGTAAAAATTAAGCTCAAGGATTAACCATGAATTGTAAAATACAGGTTATCTTACAACATCCAAGGCAACAGCTGTTGCCTCAACAAGTCTTGATGCTCTGTACTAAATTCCTAGTGGTTACACCTTCTCACGCCATTGTGATTTGACATTTCCCTAATGTCAAATAAGTCATTAAGTGTGTAACCAGACAGGAATCTTAATTCTAGTTTGAATCTGCAACCAATACTGAGTAAGAAATCAAATTATGCAATTAGGAAATGTGATAACAGCATTTAGCAACTAAACTCTGCACACCCCTTCTGTTCCTACATGGGTCCAGAAACACTCCCTTCTGCTTGCTGTCTGGCACTTGATCCCTCCAAGCCCTCTCCCTCCTCTTGGTCCTCTCAGTGCTGGCAGAGCAAAGGAAGGTGGAAGGTGTGGGGGAAGTCGTGTGTCAGAAAGCATCCCTGTCCACAGTGTGGCTCTCCCTATCCCAGAACACTTTCCCATCCTGGGAGGGGCAGCTCCAATGGTGCTGCAAGCTTGGCAAGACACAGACCTCGGGTCAGGGATCACCTTGCTCAGGCTCCCAGCCCACAGGGGTACCAGTACACCTAGAACAAGTTCCTGCTGTAAGGGCCCTTTTCCTTTCCATGTACACATCCTTCACTGCCAGAGCTGTTCCAACAAGCTCCACATCTCCTTACAACAAACAACAAATTCTGTCATCTAACTTATCCTTATCTTTGTCTCCCCCTCAAATACTCAACTTTCATTTTGGAAGTGTAACTAACAATTGCCTTTTCTAATAGTTGGACTTTAAAAGCAACCAAATAAAATATTTAGCTACAGAAAAGAATCAATGTTGTTCCAGAAACACCAGACTGCTGAAACCCAAATAGCACCAAAAGGCAGTTTTGGTAAAGATTTCATAGAAAGGCCATAAGAAGCATGGAATCAAATCAAATATGAGTTAACTGGAACAACCAGTAGCTTTTGAGTGTCCATGCTCATTTGGCTCAGTCTTACATGGTTTTGTTTTTAAAAACCAAACAACCAAGCCACCAAACCACTATTCCAAAGTGCTTATTTGGAGATCTCTACAGAGTTATACAAGATGAGTGTGTAATTCTTGCCTGGGACAAAACTTCAGAAGAGTATTATTTTCATTCCAAAGCAGGTAATTTTGACCATTAAGAGGTTTTGCTGGACAGAAAAATTATTGTGCAGTTCCACTATCCACTAATAATCTATAAGGATACAGAAACAGATTTATGTCCAAGAAATGTTTGGAGAACACCTACTTCCAGTTCAGAGTGAGTAAGATATTGCTTTTTCCAAATTCCTTCCATATGAAAGATATATTTATATTCATCCACTAATTTATGGATTAAATGACTATTTTACTTACAGCCAATAAGCTGATTCTACAAAAAAAAAAAAGGGCCTTTTCAGCACATATTGACTAATAAAAATAGCCTGTATAACCTTCTTAATAAGAACTCTAATCTTTATTTATAAAATAGTAAATTCTAATATCCATCCCAAGGCAGAATGGTACATAAAAATCCTGCAATAACAAATAAGATTAAAAAATTAGGATATGGTGGATAGGCAAAAGGCCCCAGAAGTCTGTGTTGCTAGCAATGTGAATTCTCTTATGCATATTGTCCATTTCACTCTGTATCATGAAGTTCATTTGCTAACTTTAGATGATTTAATTTTCTTTATGTCACGGCTTTGCAGAATCAAGGTCCCATTTCTGAATTTTCCAACTTGTCCTGCAGGCCAAATGCTAGGCACTGATTTCTTCCTCTTGGCCTTCCTGAAAGAGGGAGAGGAAAAACAAAAATTAAAATAAACAGCAGAAACACAGGTAAATGCTTAATATGGTGAAAAAGTCACCTATTTATGCAGAGTTTGGTATTATGGACTATCACACCATAGCATGTAAAAACTTCAGAACATTTTTCCTTCACAGACATGCAAAATTTACAGCACATTACAGCACGACTTACATTTTTAAATGTTTAGAAACACAAAGATTTTTGGAAAGAGAAGGAAGACAGAGTACAGAGGAAACTTGCAGCACTAGGATTAGGAAATGTCAGCTCACTTTCAAGCCCCTGTATACTGTAGCTTATGCTTTGCAGAAATTATCTCTTAGGGGAAATGCTCTGAGCAAGTGGTGTCTCATGAGTCTGCACACAGGGATTTTCATCCCTCTGACCTCCCGCTGCAGTCTTAGGACGTGTTGGGGCAGAACTGACATACTCTCAAGAAAAGCTGTGGAGCTGAAGCCTCTGGAACAGCTAGGCACTGAGCAGTGTCACCATTTTTTGAGGAGCTCAGCACCTGGAGAATTTTGTTGCACTGTGATGTGCATGATTTCTGGAGTAAGACTGTGCAATTACACAGGGGACATACACTGGGGAGACCATGTTAAAAACACCTCACCTCTCCTTCTGTTCTTTCTGCTTCTTCTTCTTAAGAGAATCACCTTTATGTTCCTGTTTTTAAAGATACATATTTTAATGAAAAAGGAACAGAGCATGCTAGTTAAACAATCACCTGCACAAAGAACATTCAGTAAATAGCCTTTACCTCACAGAGCAGCAGGAAGTTAAAGCAAGCTGGGAGACCTTCTGACAGAACAAGTGATGCAACACATTATGGAGCCACTGCCAGGAGTGCCCAGAGCCCTTCCTAATGCCTATGGAAAGCACAGCCCACTCACGACCAACGTGCTTTCCCTGCCACGTGCAAAGCAGAGGCTTCCTCCTGGAGAAGGGGCATGTGACAGATCCCAGGGTCAGAAATGGACTTGCTACCAGGCAGGTGAGTCCTGTCACCCAGCTGAGGGCAGCTGTCAAATAACAGGCTCAGCTGCTGTGACCGGTCATGCCCTTTGAGCCACATGACAGAGCAGGAGAAGTAGGTCCCTGGGGAAGAGGGTGGCAGGAAACAGGCTGACAGAGCAATTACCAGCCCCACCAGCCTGCTCCCACCTACATGGGAAGGCTCCATAGGGAGGCAGAGAGTAGGCTTAGAGCCAGATGGGCTGTGCTAGAGGATGGATGCAACAGAGGCCTCACCCTTGCTTTAAATAATGAGTAGGATACTAGATGGAATTTTGCTGATAAAAAAGCAGTTGAAGATCTGGCTCTCTATGGTCAGACAACATGCAACAAACTTTAATTGGGGACCATTCTGTTTCCTCTTAAGAGGAAAGGATAAAAAAAAAAAAACCCACTGCTGACTTTGTGTCATCAGTCTATCAGCCTGGAAGGGTGAGGCAGTGAAACCAACCACAACACAAGCCTAACTCTGTGTCTTCGTACTGCCCACAACCAGCTTTTACCAATGAGATTAATCCTGTCGTTGCCAGGAGCCCAATCCACAGGGAGCAGCAGGTGTCAAGCTCAGGCACTCCTCCTGCACCTGAGGTGTTATTATCTGTCAGGCTCTCTTAAAGAGGGCTGGGTCCTACACGCTGCCTTTTTCTACAGAAAATTTCATACAAACCTTTTCCTTATCAGCATCTTTCACTGCTTTTTTCTCTTTCAGTTTCTCTTGGTAAGTCCTGTAGTTCATATGTGCCTTTTTGGGGGGCTGCAACAAAGATTGGGAGGGATACTGCCGATTAAATTTTCAAATAGGTTCAAAAATTATTCACACACTTGTACAGACAGCATTTTTCACACGGTGGTGGCAAAACATTACAAATGCTTATTTCCTTTTGGGTGAGAGGATTGGACTTAAGAGACGTCAGGTAATCACAAATTGTTTCTTTCTTGGTGAGGACAGCAGAGAGAGACAATTCTGTTCTGTTATCAGTCCTACAAGGTTTACATATACACACTGAGCAAAAAACCCCAACCCACTTCCTAAAAAACACCTCAAACATTATTTTTCTGTTTTACACTAGTTATGATGAACTAAAAACTTTTCTCCATCTTTTTCTGTCTGTGAGAATGAAGATTTAAAAAGTGAGCCCCGCTCTCTCTTTATTTTTCATGGCCTGATTAAAGATCAGTAAATGTTGTTTTTCAGCCTGATCAGTCATATTTAATCTGTAATATTTTCCTGATAACACACCCATACTAATTTTCTAATCATCTACAGAAAATAGACAAGACAGAACAGATGATGTAAAAGTAAGGATGAAGTGAGAGAGGGGTCAAGGCAGGGGATTTTGTGTTTTAAAAGAGGAATACCAAAGCCCCTCATGTTCTTTACTGCTTTTCTGCATTGTAACAGCTGGGTGACCTGCACCACAAACCAAGGGACAATTACCTTGGCTCCCAGCATGATAGCACGCTCCTGTTCCCAAACACGTTGCTCCTGCTTCTTGTAGCCAGTGATTCCAAACTTGTGCACTTCCAGGCGAGCCTAGAACATTGCAGAAAATTTCAGGCATTTCATAATGTCCAACCTGTTGTAAAGCAGTGCCTGGCAGAGTTCAATGAAGTCATACTCCTGAGGAAATCCTGGCTAACACTGGAAATTGCTATAGAATAAAACTAACTGAGTTCAGAGCTATACTGCAGAGCAGTTAACCACTGTCCAACTAATCTCTGGATGGTGAGGACTTTTCAATTCTCCTCATTTCACATAAAGTAACACAACTCATTTCTTCCATGTAAAACATGAGCACTTCATCCCTGAGAAACATGGACAGGCAGATGGTGGTTTGACTACACACATAGGCAGAGTTAACACTACACAAGCATACCTTGGCAAAACCACTAATGAATCCATAATCTTTTTTAAATCTGTGGTTAAATCTCCACCCTCCTTAGCAGTACCGAGCTCCATGCAGAATCTCCAGAGAGAGACTCCACTGGATATCATAACACATCCCTGAGCCACAATTAGGCACACAAAACAACTTGCACAGATCTGTAAACAAACTGGTAGCTAAGGTGGCCAATGCTAGTTATGTTCACGTAAGAACAGATGAGAAAAAAAAGACAAATGGAAAAAGGCATTTGCTGTTTCAAAAACAGATGCAAATACACTTTTCTTTTCCTTCCCACATGAGATGTCAGAGATTTAAAACCATAGGGCAGAAAGAACTATGTTAAATATTATGGGAATTCATGCACCTTTACACATTCCCCTCAAATTCTCACTGGAAGATCAGAAAGAAAGGCCATGAAATTACACACCTCTCTCCACATGGAGCAGCTGACTGCTGCCAGCCTGTTCTTCCTTTGGTGTGGCATGTAGCCAGAATTACCTATTAGGAAATCCTCACCTACAAGAGAGATTTCCTATTAGGAAATCCTCACCCACAATCCTCACCTAGCCATTTCTGGAAAGGTTTCCCATCAGTCCCACCGTAGCTCTCTGAAGTATACGCGCACACGTAACTGTACACTAAACTAGTGGCATTAGTCTGATGCTACTGACTTACCTTTTCAAAGTTAAATTCTTGTCTGACTGCATTTTTCTCCTCATTCACTATTTGGGTCTATAAACAAAACAAAACAAAATATTTCAAATGAATATGACAAGTAACACCAGTTTAAATGCTGTCTTGGATAGCTTTCTGAAAAGCAGTGAAATGTAAAGTCAGTTGTATGGAATAATACACAGGTTTCTAGCAGCATTTTCTTCTAGCTTTATTACCAGGATCTGTTAAAATAGACAGTTTCAGTGGCATTTTTCTAGGTAAGTAAGAGAAAAACTGCCACATGTGAACTATGTATCACTCATATATCCATTTCCAAACCCATCCTGAACAGCTAAGGTAGGATAGCTCATGAATTTTAGCTCACTGTCATTTTGTTTGAGACAGTGCACTGACAATAGTGCAAGTACTCACAGCTGGGGCAATATGTAGAACAAGCTTAATTCCTAACTGCATGGACATATATTAGTGTCCATATCCAGCTTCACTAATGCCAGAGAAACAGCTCCAAAGGGTGCACTGTCAGCAATGGCAGAACCCACTTAGCACAGGCTGAAGAAAGGACTGGCTCAAAATGAGCTCAGAGAAAAGTACTCCTACTCCATGATTTACACAGACACCTTCCATCAGCAGTTCTCAGCTTGGAGGGGCACTCTCCAGAGGGAATACACTATCTCCTGGAAAGAAAAAGAAGCACAAAATCCCCAGGGAGAGAGAGAGTTCCATGCTTGCTTGTTACAGGAGTGTCCCACATGGGACACTGCGGAGCAGGTACAAATTTCCCAGGATTGTCTTAGACCGTCTGCTTTCTGATTTCAGGGAGGATGTGCTGAACCACCTCTCTGAGTGGAAGCTCTGCCAACAAACTGCCATCTGTTCAAGATATTACCCTGTTCACCTTCCCTGTTTGCTCCCAAAGGTACAATCCGCTCAGAGGAAACAGGAGTACTACATAAGCATTACAGCTGAACTGAAATACATTTCATGCATTTCCTTTTCACTCTGCAGGACCTCAGGACACAATAAATCACAGGCTCAGGCCCTAGGGTTACACCAGGGCTTCCCTCTGCATCCACCACAGCCAAACTCGTCTCAGTTCTGCAATTCTATATAGTATAGAATTGCAATTTCAATCACAAATACACCCGGTTATCTTCAGAGCATTTTGCTCACAAGCGTAACACCAGTATTTTCAGATAAAAAAAACTCCAGTTATAAAAAACTTGAGAAAAATTTTAGAGGAAAACATGCTGGGAAAAGCACAGAAGTTTATGGATTCAAACAACTGCTGGAGTCTCTTGAAGTCCCCAATTCCAAGCAATCAAAACCCCAATATCAGTAAGTCTCTCTGAATTCAAGACAGCCATATGTTGGCCCATCAGAGCTTATTTTAGAATGGGCTTCTGATGTTATGGCCATAAAGACAACTCAAGGAAAACAACCAGAAAAGTTGTAAAATCTGGAGACCAATCAACCCCTCTGCTCAGCTTCCAGCCAAACCTATCCAGACCTCCCTGTTGAAGGAACTCAGCTACAGTTTTTGGTAGTGAAAAGCTGTTTGGCGGCAGGAAACCAAACCAGAGGACTGATATCTAATGCTGTCATGCCATCCCCCACTGACTACCCAACACCGATCCTCCAAGAACAAATGCTGCTTGTCAATGGCCCAGTGCTGCTGTGATGCCAGAGAAGAGAAGCAAGTTTTGGCACCTCGCATCCACAGCTACTGACAGGAACAGAGCAGCACACAGAACTCCTGGGCAGTGAAGTAGCCATGAGGCTTATTAACCTTCCATCTCTTTCGTTTCTTGCCGTAACATCAGGCCTGTCAGCAAATCAACTTAGTTTGCTGAAGTGCGCCTATTTCAGGATTCTTATACAGAGATCAGAAATTCAAAAGATTGGTCTTCAAGTCCTGCCCCCTCCCCTGCTTCATCCTGCCCCTGTTTCCAGCAGCCCCACCGGGAATCAGCAGGACCAGATGCCATCGAGCTGAGGACGCGGATGGCCAAAGCATGCGGATTTCCAGGCACCTGCACCAAAGGAGGGACAAACCCAGGCACAGCAAGGGGCTGGAGCTCTCCCCGCCTCACGGCGCCCACCGTCGGGCAGGGCCGGCTCGGAGGCAGCGGGGACCGCGCCCGCCCGGCTCTACCTGTGCTGAGCCGGCGGGCGCTGCCGAGGGGCCGTGCCGCTCCTTCCTCTTCCTCCCGCGGAACACCACCACCTCCACGGCGGGCGGGCCGGCGGGGGTCGGCGGGGCAGGGCCGGCGGCGCTCAGCTCGGCCCGCAGCTCCCCGAAGAAGCCGCGGGCCCCGCGCCGCCCGCCCGCCGCCGGCTGCGGCTCCCGTCTCTCCTCTTGCTCCTCCTCTTCTTCCTCCACTGTCGGCGGCACAGCTCTCGCTTCGCCGTCCTCTGCAGCGCGCCGGCCGCCGCCGGGCTCCTCACCTGTGCCGAGCACATGCCGTGGGTCAGCTCCGCGCCGCCGCTCCGCTCCAGAGCGCCCACGCCCGGCCCCCTCCCCGGCCCCCGGGAGGACCGTGGTGCCGGCGCAGCGCCCGGCCCGGCCCCGCGCACCCACCCAGGTCGTAGAGGGCGCCGAGCACCGCCTCCAGCCGGTGGCGCGGCTCCCGCGGTCCCATGGCTGCCGCGGCGGGCGGGCGGGCCGGCGTGTGACCCCCGGCGGCTCCCGTCGCACCCGACATGGCGCCGCCCATAGCGCGGTGCCCCCGCCTTCCGCCGCCGCACCGCGCCAGGCAGCCGGGCCGGGGCGGCGCGGGGCCATGGGCGCCGCGGGAGGCGGCGGCGGGCGGCAGGGCAGCGCGACGGGGTAGGGCGGGCGAGCGGGGCGCGGGGCGGCGCGGCGGAGCTCGCAGGACCATGGCGACGGCGGCGGCGGGGGCGCCCGGGCGGGCGCGGCGAGGGGCGCCCATGTACTCGGTAGGCGGCAGCGGCGGCGGGAGCGGTGCCGCGGGGCAGGGGCTGCTCTTCTCACCCGCGCTGCGGCGGCGCCGCTCACTCCGAAGGGGAATGACGGCGCTTGGCGCAGTCTGCCCCTCCATCCCTCAGCCCCGGTTCGTATCCCCGGGGAAGGGGAACCGCGCTCCTGAGGGAGGGACGAGGCCTCTCCCGGGCCCCGGCGGGACCGGGCGTTTTCCCTCAGCAGTTCACCTTCCCGCGCACCCTTCGCTGCCTCGCCTGCTCCTTCACTGTCTGTCGTGACAGTCGAGACAGCCAGAGCTCCCGATCCCGAGCAGCGGCACGGCTCCCTCAGAGCTGCCGTGGCAGGCCGGCCGGGCTGGGGGCGGTGGGAATGTCTCCTCCTGAGGGAGGCAGTGTCCCGGGGTCCGGGCACCGGGTGCTCCGCAGGGTTCAGCCCGCAGCAACTTGTCCTGCCAGCCATGGGGAACTCCGCGCTGGGAGGCTGGCGTGGGCATGGAGCGGCCGAAGCGGGTTTTCCCGTGTTACACAGTGAAAATTACTTCATTGACCTTGCTCGTTCCCCGCAGCTCCTTCGCCAGCCTCAGACAAGGAGGTTTAGGTGTGGGGTGCTAAACCCCACCTCTCTCCTAGCGTTTGGAGGAGGGGACTAGGGAGAGAGGGAAACTGCTCCTTGTTTCGGCAGAGATTCCCGAACTTCTCTTCTGTGTCTTGTCTGTGTGCTGGTATCCCAAGGGCATCGCGAGCACCATCGTTACATTGCATATCCTAGTTATATGGAAGCAGAGGAGTTCCAGGCTCCTGCTGTTTTGCTTCCACACTTTACCGCTGTCACAGTAACAGTGCGTGCCGCTGAATCTTCTGATGTCCGGGTTTCCAACAGTGTGTTTTCCAAGTGTGTTCTCTACCAGCTGGCAATTCAAGCTGGAACAACAGCTTGGCTGTAATGTGTAAAAGCACAGTTGCAAATCTTTAGTGTTTGGTGAAGTGTGTGGTTTGGCTCCCTCAGTGCTCCTTCAGAACAGGGCGTGAAAATAACTATTGCCATGGAGAGAATTCAGTTGCACATCAAGTCTGAAGACCTCAGACGAATAGCAGAGGCAGAGAGGTGATTTTTCAGTGGGCCATGGCCATAGCAAAACTCTGCTGACAGGAATTGTGCTGGGGAACAGCTGTAGCAGTGTGGTGACTGCTGATGTGGCTGATCATGCCCGTGCTGAGTGCTGCCTTTCTTTGTCTGGATTTCATGTAGTTGCAGATTGCAGGATTTTAACTTTTTGTAACTGACATAAACATTGCTTAGATGTTCTGAGCAATGACTTGTCGCATCTTATCTGAGTAGGTGATACTTAGAGTCATTTTCTGCTACTATTCTGAGCTTTTTTTGCCATTATACAACATAAGAGATTTATTTTTGTTTTATTTTAATCATGGGGTTTGATATAAGGTGTCAACAGCAACAGATGGCTGATAGAAACTATTTGCAGTCATCTTAACAGATCTTAGCTTACTCAGCTCTTGCAAAATACTAACCAATTGAAAGCTGTGAAAGAAGAGAGGTTGAAAGCTGTAATGCTAAATCATACAGGACAAAACCCCCTAAAAGTTTTAATACCTATATGGGATTGTTTTGAAAGTCCCTGCTGTGTGTTCTGCAGTTACTATGAGGTAATTCTCTAAACTGCAGCTGTGGAAAGAAAAGTTATACAATCTACTAAATGCAATTATAGTAGAGGGATGGTCTCCAAATTTGCTTGTGCTGTGTGGGTAAAAGAACTTGAGAAGGTCAAACATTCAAACATTATAGTGGGATTTGTGTCCTCCAATAAAACAAAATTGACTTTTGATACAGATGAGGCTTTGAAGGATTTTTTGTCATTCTTAAGTGGAGATATTCCTGATTTGAGTAGTTTGGTTTTGTTACACCAGATTACCTTGTGGTGATGAATGGACAGGAGCTAAAGGTTTGCTCTCTACAAAGGTCAGCTGCTCTGACAGTGTTGCTGATGTGGCTCTGGGTGGCTGGCTGGCAGTGAAACCTGACTCCCTCTCCCAAGGCTGAAAACACAGCTGCCACTGCTGGGCATTTGGCTTATCTGTTGCTGATGTTCCCCTGTGTGTTTGCTGGCCAGGCTTTGCACTCAGCACCAGAAAAGGTCCCTGAAGGAGCTTATGAAGCATGTTTTACCCTTCATTATCACTTTGATTCTGCACGGGTCAGATATAGAAAGGGGAAGTGGAATGAATGAAAAGATTCCCATTGCTACCCTTCAAGTGGAACTGTGGAGGAAGACATAAGCATTTTTATTTTTAATATCTTCCAATAAATATGCTTGGTCATAACTAATACTTTTTTATTTAACAGAGGCTTACTCCAGTTGTCTTACCTGGTGGTTGTTGCTGCTGGTTTGAAGCTTGGAGAATACGGTTTCACTCTTAGGAGGACTGAGGGGTCATTCATACAAACTGTGGTGATACAGGAGATAATAGGAGACATCTCTCTCCAGCACAAGGGTCTACTGGCTCAAAGGGAAGAGTTTTGTGTGAATTTTTTGCAGCAGTATGGACCCACAATTAGTTCTTGGTGCCCTGGGGTTTTTCCTGCTTAGCAGTGGTGGTGCTGATTACTCAGAGGCTGTGCTCTCTTTTTACCTACATGAGCACTATATTGCATTCATGTGGCTGACAGTGAGGTGATTTGGGGTTTTTTTAATTTGTTCTTGCCTGATAATGTTTCATGTAACTTACATCCAAGCTGTGTGAAAGCTTCAAGTCACCAAGGCCCCAGCTACAACTTTTAAGTAGCAGGGATTATTTTCTGTGTGTTGATGATTGGTTTTTTATAATGTGAATCATGGCATTGTCTTAATGAAGCTGTGAAAGTTGGAATCAAAAGTGTTTTAGTTAATAGCTATTAATTATGGAGAGGCTGGAGGCAAGGCACTTCAGCTTTAAAAGCCCATGTCTTCTCTCAGTTTCTGTTGTGTGGAATTAAGTAACGTGGCATAGGGTGACTTTAAGATCTTTGAAGTTGAAGGGATTAGGGTAAGGGTTTTTTGGGGAGGGGAGGAAGAATTAAGTATCGTGGCATAGGGTGATTTGGGGATCTTTGCAATTGAAAGGAATTAGAGTGAGGGGTTTTTTGGGGGGTTGGGGGGTGTATGTTTGCTTGTTTATTTTGCTTTTGGGTTTCTTTCTGGATCAGTCTTGCAAGCAGGTGGTGTTGGTTCCTGCAGTCACAGAGTGTAGCATGCAGACATTATTGGAAGCTAAGAAGAACCCCCAAATGTTGCAGAAGTAGTGCATATCATTATTTTGGTGCTGTAGCCAAGCAGGTCACCAAACAGCTTGAGACAGTGTCTCATTCTTCATTTGTATGTTCCTAGCAGAAAGAGCTCACATCAAAGAAGAGAGATGAGTTTGAGGATATCCTGGAGGAAAGGCGTTTGTCCAGTGACTTGAGATACGCCATGAAATGTTACACCCCGGTGATCTACAAGGGACTTTCTCCTTGCAAGCCCAACGCTATCAAAAGTGCTGTTCTCCACTCAGAGCAGGTTCAGTATGTTATCAAGCAGGTGAGTCTGGACAGTGAGCTCTAGGATGAGGTGGATCACACAGCCAAGCTTTGTGTGGCAGCGGAAAAAGAGATTGTTGCTGACCTTGTTATAATGGTAATTGTAGTTTGGAAGATGGTCCAGTAAATAAATAACTCTTTTGGCAGGAAAAAGAAAATACTGGAGTTGCCACTAAAACTGTCAGGTTCATGAAAGAGTGTTTTGATTTTGCATATATAACACTTCATCATTAATTTATCCAGTGTGCCTGACTTCTTTTTTCTCCTTCTCCTCATACTCCACTGTTCTCACCACAGAACAACATTGTGAAAGACATTAGCACTCTCCTTCCTAGCAGATGTTTTTGTACTTTAGGGGTGTCTTGTAGGAATTTTATAGGTTAATGATGCATTTATGAGCAAGTCCTAAATGCTACTTTCACTAAAATGAGAGTTCTATATCACAGATAATTCTTCAAATTAGAAATACTGTTTAAGATGTAACCCCATATTTTTTGTTCTAACATGAAGGGCAGCTACTACTTTATAACAAATAAAGTTAGGCTGGCTGATACTTTGCACTGTCTTTAAATACCTGAAATAGTGTGTGTGTTAATTAGCAGCATAAACTAATTTCAGTAGCCATAAAAAATAATTGCGAGTGTGTAGAAATACCTAAGGTGTTTTGGTTTGTCCTGAGTGACAGGCTGCTGTAAATTTTTTTCTATTTGTTTCTTTTAATGGCTAGTACTACCTGTGATATATGAAAATGTGTTATAATGTGACAAAGTATGTCACTCTACACCACAAAGTAGTTCTGTTTCCATTATGGACTGCTAAAAAGCCAAAAAAATCTTTCAACTCCAGAGGCTCTAAAAATTTACTGAAAGAAAATACTTTACAGAGGGTTTGATAGAAAGACGTTTGTGTGATGTTTTCTTCCGAAGTACTTTCTTGATAGGAAATTATTTTGATGAATATTTTCTGGCTGCATCAAGTGGTTGAAGGGAGTTAGCAGACCTGCCATTGCAGCCTGGTTCCCAGTTTTGCAGTGGAGGTTACTGGAAGTTTCTGACTGAGAGTGTCCTGGGCAATGTGCCCAGCTCTCTATGATGAGGGTCCCTCCTGCCTGGGCAGGGTTTGCTCA